GCGCATGGCGCGGTGCGGAGAGGGGTGAACCCTGCGGCACACGGCGACGGTTTTCCCTCAGCGTACGTTTTTCTGTCGTTGTTGTTCCTATGGAAGCGAGGTCTGGCGGGTTAGTTATTCGGGTTTCACGTCTCCGGCCTCCTTGGTTCTTTTTCTTTTTTTGGCTCTATCCATCCTGGGAACGTCACCTACGGGAGTTTCCTGTCCGAGGAGGCAAGGCCTACTGGCCGGTGGAGACGAGAACGTCATATATCGTTGACAGCAGAGGCCCGCGGGCTCCTTGGACGGGTTTCAAAATCCCGCGAGTGTATAGCCGTCGTCCGCCGTCAATGGCTACGCTTGTCGTGCCCGTCATGCACGTATGCGGTTTACAGGCCCGCCTCCCACCCCTCCCCCTTGATGCTACGCTTTCGACACCTCGGATACCCATGTGTTCCTTCTTGGACCTCTCCACGTCCTGTCATCATGGTGGGAGAGGGCAGAAACACCACGGGCTGCTTCTTCCCCTCGGCCGGTCTGCCGGAGCGCAGGCGGCGAGCAAGGCTGGTCCATGTCTGAATACATGCGCAGCTGCGCCGACGGGGTGTGATTTTCTTGCTTTGTTATCTCTTCCATGGGTTCTATACCGCTCCCCGGCAAGGGCGTGAGTCTCTGGGTACGCATGCAGCCATCGCTCCCTTCTCGTTCCGTATTGCCGCGCCAGATGACTACCCTGGGGTTTCGGCATGTCTGGTTCAGGGTACGTTCGTACTGTTTCCACCGTGGCCAGATGTCGATTTCCAATAAACTGCGGCAGAGTACGAAAAGGCTAGGCGTACATTGCCGGCGCAGAACGCGGTCCAAGTATCGTAGTGACAAAGAAGGTCCTTGATGCCTTTTTGCGTGGTAGTGTACCTCCCGGTCGTTGACGTACAATACTTTCCACTCTACGTGTTGGGGTTGCTCTCGCTATTCTCCTCATCTTGTTTAGTAAAACCGGTGTCAGTGACTTGTATCCTTTGTGGATCGTCCAAACTTCGACTTCACCGTACTTGGTGGCAGCAGCGCGATAATGCTCGGTGAAATACCGCTGTTGTTCTTGGTTCATCAAGAAAGGGGGACTCAACCGTCTTCCAAGTCGACATGCTCTATGGTGCGGCACGCCATTCCGTGTTGCCATGCTTTTCAAGTGCGAAATCGATCGAACAGCAGGATGTATGCTGACCGCGTCGGTGCCCTTGCTCCACTGTCCACGTTCAGATTCCGAGATCCGAAGTCTACACACAGACAATGTACATCGTTGTTACTCGGGCATGGGCGCTGTGTGGCCTTTCCAACCTTGCTGGAAACACTATTCCTCCGCCTTTCGCTCACGATCGCTGGGGTCTCGATGCCAAGACTCGATTCCACCGCACGTGACAGCTAGCGAGCCTCTACATGATGATCATCGGCCCCTGTCGTCTACCGGATGTCGATGGGTTCCCAAAGGGTGCAAAAGGCGGAGAAGCGCCGACTCATGGAGTCAGTGCGACTAGCTAAGGGTTTTTGGATGTCTTGGCATAACCCACGTTGTTTTTACCAGTCCGGGTTTGTCTCGTTCCGAACAGAGAATCACATTACCCCACAAACGATGAGGCGCTACATCGCCATGCTCTAGATCTATCTACGAAGTTCTCGCGGGAACGAAGAGAACGATGTGAATCCTGTGAGGCGTCAGCTGGCTGTGCTAGACTGCGGAAGCTATGGATACTCGAGACCGTAGTAGCCAAGACCAAGTGAGGGCGATGAAATACATTACTCGTTTCAAGTCATGGGGATCTGTGATACTACATCGCTCTTGAACCGAGGAGTATCCGTATATAATGTGGGAGAACGGTTCACGCATGATTTGGATCCGAAAATGATCTGGTTGATATGCTGAACAGGGTAAAACATTGCCTGTTTCGGAAAACGTACAGCATTCTTTTTTTACATCGGGGCAACTAGTAAATGTATGCTCAAGGAAACGTCTCTCTTAGCCCAACTAGCCAAAAGCCGATTCAAACCCCTAGAGAAGAACCGGGATAGAGGCCGTCACAAGATCGAGACGAGTTTTCTTCGGAATAATGAACTGCATATGAGCAGATTTGATGATTTAGCAATGTTCGAGTATGGGAACAGCTATCTTGTGAATTTACGGCTTTTGATAGCTGCGTATAACCCATCTCTAGCTCGGGCACCTCCTTCTGCTGGATATTTCAATCGTGAAATTGTTGCTTCATGATCGGGAGACGCAGTACGATCAATGATGCACCTAGAAGATTACACTGCTAGACAAAATGTACCCCTTTTCAAAGCCCAGAACGAAATTTATTTGCCTTCTCACGAAGTATATTACGCACCTTAACGTGTCGACGATGTCAGATGCAAGTCATAATGAAAACATGCCCCTTGCTGATAGGAGTGCTGTCGTCTTCACCTGCTTCGGCATCGAAATTGAAATGGTCTTATTTCGTCCCTGTATACTATGACAGAATGAGATTACTGCCTACAAGTCTGCAAAGCGGATGGATATCATCATTTTTAAATGACGTGTTGCTGATTCTCCTAGTCCTGAGTTGTGTCTGATAGTCATATACGTAACTTATAACGACGATATTCTGTGGGAATTCGCTGCTCAACATGGAAACTATAATAGAATCTTTCTAGGTTATTCAGTAATGAAGCATTGGTAGGATTGATCAGCTGACGTGCCTCTACAGATAACAAATTTCGCAGTCAATCCGACACTATTACATTCCCGGTTCGGATGACAAGCGTTGCTCAACGTAGGGGGCCAAAATCCGCAGAGAAGATATTAACAGAATCAATAAGAAGTCGCTGTCTAGGGTTACGGTGCGCATCCCGCGGCGTTACGTCCGTAGTATAAGATACCCAGCCTGGTGGTTATGGGCTAGGGGGATATCCCTGACCATACGACGGAGTCATAGTAGGCTTATGAGACCACGAATAAGCAGCTGGGAGGCGTTGTGGTCACACTGTAAACAAAATACGAGAAAGTTTAATTCAAGACTGTAGTGACTGCGAGATAGTATCACATATCAGATCGTAGTGGCCTGACAGCAAAATTCTGAGTAGGGGCCCGTTCAGGTAGCGAGCGATTGAGTTGTTTGATGGAAATTGATCAAAAGCTCAAAATCCATCCATGGGTGCCACTTCGCTTACAGTGCCCCATTGAGGCGCGGGAATCCGCTCTTGCCATGGACAGGCCGAGTATAGACTGACTGACAAGTCTACCTGAAATTAGGGACGACCATCACTGAACTTCACGCCCTTCCATGAGATGAGTTTGTGGAAATTCCATGTTTTGTGTATGGGGGTTGCTGGGTTGGCGATAATAGTTAATCAAAGTGAGACGGCCTATAAGCACATGAGTAGATACCAGATAGCTGGGATAGTGCGCAGTTGGTTATTTTCTTGAGTCAGTGCTGGGCTGTGCATCGTTAATGAAGTTATCAGTGGGGTCATAACGTTCCAGCGGAATATTTGTCACCTTCACGGCCTGCCATGCTCCACTGGCAGAACACCATGGCGCAGAGAACCAGTACCAATTCAAACTCAAATGCCTTCATACTGTGTGCTATTTCTCGATATTTCAAGGGTCCAAATTTATTGCATTTGTTGAGCTTGTAGAGTTGTCCCAGTGGGATGTTACTAGATCGAATGTAAGGGCCATTTGAGGAACACAGCACCATATCCCAGATCACTTTCACTGTGTTCCGTTTCTAAGTTTTGAAAGACTTCGAAGATCAAGACATAGTATGCTCCCTATGTCCTATCTGTTTCCCAAGCTCAGCACTGTTGCCCATCTGACCACATCATAACCACTTTCATCGTATGTTGCGATTAATAGCTTGGTGACGGACGATATTCACGAACTTCGCCTTAATAGTTTCGGAGTAAATTCTGACATGCACTTACTTTTTACTCTCGGTTATTAACCCCGTGTGTCGGTGGTGGTATGGGAACTTTTTGAGAAAAACATTGCCCGTTTCGTGATATGATTTTAGAAAAAACGCTCCTACCAACTTGCCCTGTTGGCACATGAATACTTGCTATGGATCGTCACCTTCATTCTCAAAAGAACTAATACGAACTTGCGCAATCTCTAGTGCAAATTAACCAAAGAACGTGGCTAACCAACCCGTTAATTTCGCGAATAGCTTCACTTCAACCAACCGAGCCAAAGTTGGGCTGGCTGATTAACTCAAGTGGAGACGGATAATCACAGTTTCCGGCTAACCGATCATGGTTCAGATGACCCTTGCAGGCTTCACACAACAAGGACTCGGCTCGCACGCTTTGTCATCAGGAGAATTCAGTCATTGCGTTGAATGATAAAACTTTACAGATGTAAATAGCTTCAAATCAACCAACCAACTTTAAAGCTAAAGGTGGCTTCATCAAAGGGTGGCTTGATCAATATGTAATTAGTTCTGATGTTAATAAAGGTCAGATGTATATGCATAAAACGCAGTTGTTAAGGTTCAAGCTCGTGTTTAGAGTCTTCCGATACTAGTTATTCAGGCGGGCGACACAAAACCGAACGGACAGGCGTTCCTACACTCTGAGCGGAACGACTGGCACCATAGCCTTTTTGAGTGGAAGAAAGCTTTTTCAATCCTTGCCCAACGTGTGTTTGTTGATATTTGATGACCCTTCCAACGGCTCAAGGCAATATTCATAGGCGATGCATGGAAGTGGTCAGAACCCGTCGCTTGTATCTGAAGAGTGCAGCTGATGTTTAGGAGTTTTGGATAGCAAGTGATTTAGAGATGGGAATTCGTCCTCTGAAATGAACTCGACGGCGAAGAGTGGTTCTCCATTACAGCGGAGGCACACAATCGTGCTATCATATGACCTGGTAGAAGAGAAAACGGTACAGTATGAGATTCCGGTACTATACTGCATCCATGAGCTTGGACTGAAGGCGCGAAGACTAAAAGTCTCAACTCATAACAAAACCATCTTCGTAGTCAGCCCTAGTCTCTACCAGCAGCCCATTTCGTGGCATCTTTGAGCCAAGCAAATACCATATCGGTCCCTTTGGAAACGTTCCTTGCCACTAACCCATTCTTGGGGTCTCTATCTGGACCGGGATCGTTGAACGCCTCAACTATGCGCGTGCAATTCTTTCCGACCTCCAGGATAGATCCTCCGACAAGGGAATCTTCCTCAACACATCGTAACATGGCCTCTGCTACCTCTTGAGGGGTGACCCAGCCGTCTTGATTTATGTCCAAATTGACGAGCTTCTCCGGATTCTCAGTCCATAATGGTGTGCGGACGACGCCAGGTGCGACGGCGTTGACGCGGATTCCATCTGTTTCTTCTAATCGTGCTAGACTCCGTACGAAACCTGTAACAGCAAATTTGGAGGCTGCATACAAAGGAGCGTTTATGTTCGGCACCTGGCCCGCGACAGAAGAGATGTGAACGACCCTTTTGGGATTATTGGGAGAAGCTTTAATGGCAGAGGTCACAGTAGTACTTGCGGCGGTTTTCGAATGCAGCCAGTACGAGATCGCTAGCTGTGTTGAGCGAATAGGGTGCGTGATGTTGATATCAAACAGCGAATAATGTCCTCCATCTACGCTGTCCTTGCTCTCCGACGACCCTGGAGGATGCCAGAAGCTTGACCAATGTGGCTCGTAAACGCCAGCGCCAGGACAAAGTACATCAAAGCCGCCAAACTCCGAAACAGCAACCTTGAACATGTTGGAGAGCGCCGGCCATGAGGTGACGTCAGTTTCGACAAATACAGCTCTAGGCTTGGTTTCGGCGTCTTGGTATTTCGCCACAAGAATCTCTGCTTCAGGTCTCAGAGAGAGGTCAGCAATAAGGACATTGCAACCTTGAGCGAGTAGAAGCTCCGCGAAGCAGAGATTGATGCCTTGTCACGGGTCAGCCCTTCAAGAACTTGCTGGCATTTTGATGAGTAAAGCAAAGGGTCCTACCAGAGCCAGCACCGGTGATAATGGCAGTTTTGCCAGATACGCTGAAGGAAGCGGTGGGTTTCTTGACATCCGCCGTCATTTCACAGAGCATTTGAGAACTCAAAATTAACTCGTGAATCCTTTTGAACTTGGTCAAAGACAATAGTAGTGTCTCAGTAGTCGGGTTAGCTGCAATTACCAGGTGAAAGACTTTGCAGGCTTGTTGGAGTGGAAGCCCAACGCATCTGTAACTACTGCTGACGACGCATGGCCTTTTAAGCAACAGCAGCGGAGGAATGTCCAACCATTGGATCCCTTACACCTAATCGACTAAGGGGAACCACTGAGACATGCAGGTGGAGTGTACAGCATGGTGTCACGATTACCCCGCAGAGGAATTGAGCGGCACAGCCGCACAGGTAGCTCATTGGAGGATTCATGGCTAGTCTTGACTACCTCGGCGCTTAGAGTTGCCCGATATTTTCTTTGGGATGGAAAAGGGTGGGCAACCATTGACTGGTTCTTGACAGTTTCTCATGATATTTGAAAATATCAGTATTCATTAGTAGCTTCTTACATTCTTTATGTATCTATTGATCGCTTGCATTTTGTAGCTATAAGAGTCATCAAGTCCAGAAGCTCGTAACTGACAGTAAAACTGATTGAAGGAGAATTTAAGAACCCTGATTTCCCATCATTAATCCGAATAGAATATCTTTGTTCATTGTTACTATCGGAACAAATGCGGATGATCATAAGTTCACTCGATCAAACATCGCCGAGCTTTGTGGCGAAGTGACAGACTCTTCCAAAGACTCAGGGGCAGAAGGCTTGCCGACATGCACAAGTCAGCAACAGCAACGAGGCCAAGGGGGCCACATTCGTTGAACAGAGTGCCAACTTTCATGCGAATAAAGAAGACTATGAAAAGAAGTGGTACAGACTGAAAATCAGGCCGATCTGAAATTCGGAACATGAGAGACATGATCTTGAGGGCTCAGTTGTCTTATGATGTTTCAAGAAGGGATCAATCAGGAGAGAAAACACTCCCCAAGACAACTCTCTTGCTGCGCGTTAATGACATCAGTATCCGTGATATCGATCATGCTTTTTGCGTTATACACGGGGCTATAACATAGTTCTCCCCACTATTATCTAGCCCCGTCAACCTAAATAAGAAAGTGCAACATCAAATGAGATTTTCTGTTGGCCAATAATAACATACCAATTGACTTCTCCAAACACGATCCAGAACGGGGCCCATAAACTGCCACCGTAAGGCACCGATGATAAGTCAATTACTAGGTAGCATCATTGGCCCTAACAAAATTATGCTTCAAGTCTCGTCCTGGAATGAAGGTGATAGATAGATCACTGCAGCAAAGCTATAGAGAGATACTTATTTGTCATCGGTACAGAAGATTGTTATCTATGAGGACCATGGGATTTGGGATCATATAGCTGGAAGATAGATAGTTTGATAAGCTTAGGCACGCCGACTCGGAGCCAAGTCATGTCTTGGCATCGGCTCGGAATAATGGCTACAAGGCGGCCAGAAACCTTAATCCTAAAACCCGCCTATTGAGATGGTTTTAATTGGAGCGCCGTGAAGACGGAACCTTGCTTTACTTGAAGATGATAGTGACAAGAAACAGCAAGTTTTCACCCCTGGTGAAGCCATCGACGGGCGAATTTCTGGCGACGCAACCAGAGGCCTCAGGCCCCTCAGCAAAATAACTTCTGATCTTTTCAAGATGATGATGAAACAGGGTAGCTAACATCCATGGTAATTTAGGTTTTAGTGTGTTCAGAAGCTCCCGTATTGGAAGGACTGTTCTTCCACTAATAACGGTTGATATAGTGCGAGACATGATTGCTACCTGGACTTGCGTAGTTACAACAAGCAACCACACGGTAAGAATAAATGCTATTATACTGATGGGCCGGCGGAACGGCCGTCCACAAGACCGAGTCGGTGGAACGGCGGTTGACATGACCGATGCTGCATAGTCTTCCATGCACAACAAACCGACCCGAACCGAACCGAGGGATCCAAGGGTGGAACACTGTGCCTCCCGCTAACCCGTCAATGATTCCGGCCCAAAAAATGTGAATGCTCGCCAACAGGTGCGGATGATTTTGCACTGTGTTCTCACGATCAAAGGGATGGTTCAAAAACAAATGGAAACTTGAACGTACGCATCTTCTTGCACCTCGAGATTTAACGTCCTCGCCCTCAATCATGACTACCGCCTCTGCGAGAACACCGAACGAGAAAGAAGAAGGAAACAAACAGACCGGACTCCATGATGGTGAGGCCCTCGGCCAGCTTGCCACCATCTCGACCAATGCGTCTTACCGGCCACCCGAGATGAGCCCGGCGCGCCGGCGCGCCGTCATGTTCACCCTCTGTATGACCCTCCTCCTCAGCGCGCTGGACATCACAATCATTGCGACGGCCTTGCCGACAATCGCCTCGACTCTCCATGCCACATCGTCTGAGTACGCGTGGGTGGGCAGCGCCTACACTCTTTCTAGCACAGCGTCCACACCAGTTTGGGCCAAGATGTCGGACATATTCGGTCGCAAACTGACCATCATGGTCGCGACGGCGGTGTTCATGGCGGGGAGTCTCATCGCCGCACTCGCCCAAACGATCTATGTCCTCATCGCCGGACGGACCGTTCAGGGCCTTGGAGGAGGTGGTTCCTTGGTACTAGTCACTATTGTGATCGGAGACATCTTCAAGCTGGAGGACCGCGCCAAGTACTATGGCATGACTGGCATCGTTTGGGGACTTGCAGGCGCAGTTGGGCCGATTTTGGGCGGTGTCTTCACAGAGACTATCGGTTGGAGATGGTGTTGTAAGTGGAATCTGTGCCCCAACGCATGTCGAGTTCCGGCACTGATGCATCACAGTCTTCATCAACCTTCCCTTTGATGGCGTGGCCCTGTTGGTCTTGTTCTTCGCCCTGAAGTTGGAAACGCCAAAAGAAGCATTCTCGAAGGGCCTTAGAGAATTGGACTGGGTAGGATTTGTACTCATTATCGGCGGCACCATCTGCTTCCTCTACGGCCTTGAAACCGGTGCCGGGGGCGTGGTGCCGTGGGGCTCTGCGCAAGTGATCTGCCTCATCCTCTTCGGTGTCATCACTCTGGCACTCTTCGTTTTCTGGGAGGCCCGTTTCGCCAGAAACCCCGTCATTCCCTTCCGAATCTTCAAGAAAGGCAGCAACATCGCGGCCTTTGTCGTTGCCTGTCTGCACGCCTTCGTCTTCATATCGTACGACTACTTCTTACCTCTCTACTTCCAGGTCGTTCTCGGGTTCAGACCCATCATCTCCGGCGTCTCTATTTTCCCGCTGCTGATACCGCTGACGATGATGACGATGCTCGGCGGACTGTTTACCAGGAAGACAGGAAACTACATTATTCCAATCTTCTTTGGATCGGCAATGATGACGCTTGGAAACGGTTTGTTCATCAGCTTCCAGGCGAATACGCAGTGGGCCAAGATCGTCATCTTCCAGATCATCACTGGATTCGGGGCCGGCGTCCTTTTCCAAAGCCCCATGATATCCATCCAGACCCATACTCACCAGAGGGATATGGCTGCTGCGATGTCGGCTTTCAGTTTCCTGCGCTCGTTGTTCACTTCCATGTCCGTCGTCATCGGCACGGTTCTGCTGCAGCATAACCTTGGCGGCGGCGGGCTGACTGGTGGCAACCTGCATGCTGGCGACCAGGCAAGCACAGCACCCCCCGTAGATAAAGAAAACTACATATCTGCGTTGCACATTATGTGGGCTTTCTTCACTGGTGTCTCCGGCTGTATGCTGTTTACGGCGGTGTTCATCAAGCAGAAGCCTAAAAAGCTCGCCTCCGAAACCGGAGTCGAGCAGGACTCTGTGACGGAATGACCTTGCCTGAGTTATCTTGGATACATAGCATTGTTTGTTGTTTGATTTAAACTTGATATATCGAAGATAAATTCACAATGGTCACCGTACGAAGACTCCTTTTTCGCTTTCACCCTCACTATATTGTATATGGTTCAGCCTCGCCTTACCTGCAACAATGGCCTCACAATGTTTTGACCGATCTGAAACAGCTGTTTCCCAAGATCCTCTCGGTTCCATTACATAGCGGTGCAAGCATGTTAAGTCGAGTTGTCAATACAGCACTCACAAGAATATATTTAAATCAGTAAAGCAAGATTTCTAATCAGTCAAACTACCTACTTTCTGCTCCCCCCCTGCATTCTGCCTACCTTTTCCTACTAAAAATAGCTAAAAATAGCTATTTATATCTAAGGACTTATATAGATATTATAATCTAGGAAATTTTGCTAAGTAAATAGTATAAGTATAAAGCTATAAAAAAAGTTTAAAGCTTTTTTATATAGTAAATATAAAGAAATAATATTAAGTATATAAGTATTAAGGTCTACTAGTAGTATACTAGTAAGTACTAACTTTTTTATATTTTATATAACTTTTTTATTTATAAACTGAAAATAAAAATTAGAGTATTTTTATATACTTTATACTTAAAAGATTATATATATATTACTATATGTCAGAGGCCTGACTGGGGCCTAGCAGGGGATCACCGGTGGAGCCCTACTAGTTATCTAGATGAGGGATAAAACCCCTATCTTAGCCCACGATAGTTACAGTGGCCAGATTCGAATGTGAACAACAACAACAACCCACCTTTGACTATCAGCTAAGTGACCCCTATTGCCGACTTCATCACTTAGATCCAGACACCTCTGACACTATATAAAAGATATTTAAAGCTTATTATTAAGTTATTTGTAATATTAAACTTTATTAGTAAAGTCTTTTTAGTAATAAGTTTACTTTCTAAATAACTAAGTATATAAAATACTTAAAAAGTCTAAGTAAAAGTATTTAAAGCTAAGTTATTTTAAATTCGTTTACTACTATTTTATTATACTTATAACTCTTTTTTATTAGCTATATTCTTATATACTATAAACTTTTAAAGCCTTTATTTTATAGCTATTTACTGAAAGATACTATATTTTCTAAAGCTTATAGTAATAGTCTACTATCTAAGAGCTTATATAGAGAGATCTAAAATTATTAGTCTAATAGGTGTGTAGATATAGGCTACTGTTTTTAGCTGTTTTTAGTAGGGAAAGGTAGGTGGAATCCAGGGGGGGGCAGAAAGTAGGTAGTTTAACTTATATATTAGTTGACACCTAATAATGGACAAATCTTCCACGAGCTTCAGGTCGAATAAAATCAATACAGCAGCTCACAAACGTTTCGCCAATGACAGTGTTGGATTTCCAGAGAACTTGGCTGATGGCTACAGCTCGACGCGAAGAGGGACAGGCTTTATCGAATGCTCACTCAAGTCCTCTCGAACCAGCTCCATATTATGACTTTAACGATTAACGAGCATCCCCTTATGATGGTGATGCACAATCTAAAAATGCGACGTCGGTACGCAGATTTACAGTTTCAATGATGTGTGCTTGGAAACAAGGCATCAAGGATCGAGAAATTGACAAATCCTTGGAGGTCATATACATCGGAGACGGCTTGAGAAAATGGGCGACAGTATATATGAGAATATTCAATTAAATACAAGAAAAGCGGCCTACACCAATGACCCCCACATAAAAACCATATATGCTTAATTATTTCTGCAGGTCGAAGCGGTCAAGGTTCATGACCTTGGTCCAGGCCGCGACGAAGTCGTTGACAAACTTCTCGTTGGCGTCAGAGCTGGCGTAGACCTCGGAGATGGCACGGAGCTCGGCGTGGGAACCGAAGACGAGGTCGGCGCGGGTGGCGGTCCACTTTTCGGTCTTGGTCTTGCGGTCGACTCCCTTCCACGTCTCCCCGTCGGTGTCGCTCTGGGACCAGACGGTGGAGATGTCGAGGAGGTTCTTGAAGTAGTCGTTGGTCAGCTGGCCCTTCTTTTCGGTGAGCACGCCGGTGTTGGAGCCATCGAAGACGGCGCCGAGGGCGCGGAGGCCGCCGACAAGGACAGTCATCTCAGGGGGGCTGAGGGTCAGCTGGGCGGCCTTGTCGACGAGGAACTCCTCGGTGCGGGCGCGAGCGGTGCCGCGGCCGTAGTTGCGGAAGCCATCGGCCTGGGGCTCAAGGTAGCCGAAGGATTCGATGTCGGTTTGATCCTGGGTAGCATCGACGCGGCCGGGGGCAAACGGAACGGTGACTTTGACGCCAGCGTCCGCGGCAGCCTTCTCGACGGCGGCTGTACCACCGAGAACGATCAGGTCGGCGAGGGAAACCTTCTTGGAGCCGGTGTTAAAGTCGGCCTGAACTTTCTTCAGGGCGTCGAGGACCGCGGAGAGCTGCGTGGGGTTGTTGGCAACCCAGTTGACCTGGGGCTCAAGGGCAATGCGGGCGCCGTTGGCTCCACCGCGCTTGTCGGAGCCACGGAAGGTCGAGGCAGAGGCCCAGGCGACGGAGGCGAGCTTGGAGACGTCCAAGCCGGGGACCGCAAGGATGGTGGACTTCAGAGTGGCGACATCGGCATCATCCATCAGGTCACCCTCCCTGGCGGGAAGAGGGTCCTGCCAGATGAAGGTCTCCTGGGGGACTTCGGGGCCGAGGTAGCGAGCCCGAGGGCCCATGTCACGGTGGAGGAGCTTGAACCAAGCCTTGGCGAACGCATCAGCGAGCTCATCGGGGTGGTCCACCCATCGAGTGGTGATGTTGAGATAGGAAGGATCGTTGATGAGGGCCAAGTCGCTAGTGAGCATAGTCGCCTTGCGGAACTTGGTGGCATCAAAGGGGTCGGGGTAGTCGAGGGTGCCGTTGACAGCCTCCCATTGGTGATGACCTGCAGGGCTGGTGACTAGGGTCCATTTGTTGTGCAGAAGCGACTCCAAGTAGTCGTTGCTCCATCTACAGGGACAAGGATTAGCCTTACTGTTTCACTGCATAATCACACAGCTGATATAAATAGCTGAGGTCTTCATCGGTTTTGCCTCATTGGTCCTGTCCCATGAGGCGAATACCTACAGCACGTGGCGGATAAAAAGCATCGGAGGCGAAAGGGGTTTAAGGAGATGCAGGGAGTGGGGGAGTGCGTGGTAAGACGAAGCCTGAAGGAGTTCATCACAATCACTTACTTGGTAGGGGTCTTGGTCCAGATCACTTCCAGACCACTGGTCATCTGGTTGACGCCATTGCCGTCGCCAACGCTGTTGTGCCATCCTAGGCCCATCTCGCCGATACTAGCAGCCTCAGGCTCAGGTCCGATGTTGTCTGCAAAATGCGTGCGTTAGTCTGCGTGTTCTCTCTCGACTGGCGACGCGAGACAAGGGGTGGGGAGGGGATTTGAAGGGTCGGAGCATTTCCACGCTGCCAAGAACTAGATACAGCCCCCATCCGAATAATGCTTGCTAGACTCACCAGCAGAAACGGCACCGTGGGTCTTGCCAAAGGCGTGTCCACCGGCGATGAGAGCGACAGTCTCTGAATCGTTCATTCCCATGCGATGGAATGCAGTGCGGATGTCGTTCGCCGAGGCGGCGGGGTTGGAACTACCGTCAGGGCCTTCCGGGTTGACATAGATGAGGCCCATGTTTGTAGAGGCCAGAGGCTTCTCCAGCTTGTCAGCGCGCTCGAAGATGTCGGTGCTGCCATTATAGCGGACGTCGTTTCCCTTGGGCACGAAGGTCGTCTCGCCGCCCCAGTAGATGGATTCGTCGGCCTGCCACGTGTCGGGGCGGCCTGCGGCGAAGCCAAGAGTCTTGAAGCCCATATCATCGAGGGCAGTGTTTCCAGCCAGGAGGATTAGGTCCGCCCACGAGATCTTGTTGCCATACTTCTGCTTGATTGGCCCTACGGGATAGCATGGATCAGCATACTGCAGGTAGTTTTCTTACTCCCCTCCCACAAGGCCCCCTTAGCATCTTGGACTGTCGCCATTACCTAGCCACTGGGGGAGTGGATGCGTGGCGAGCGAACCGAAGAGGCAGTTGACATGGGGTCCTTGATGGAGGGAGGGAGGAGTGGGGGCTAGCTTACATAGGAGGCGACGAGCCTTGTCAAGGTTCTGATTGTCCGGCCAGCTGTTGAGTGGAGCGAACCGTTGTTGACCCTGCAATATACCAATATTAGTTAATGCCAGTCCTCAAAATGATAGAAGTGATGCTGCAAAGTGATAAGGTGAAGACACCTGCCCGCCCATAATTCGATGGGCAGCAAGTGTGGAGAAAAGAAATGCGTGTGCACCACTTGGCACGAGGACGGGATAGGCCAGAAACCCTCCGGTAAACCCCGCCCCTCATTTGATGTTCGTTTGTGAGACGAATGAGATCAGTGATGGAGGGTCAAAAGTGCCAAGTGTACCTCTGTCGTGAGGCAAAAGAAATGCGCCGAGAGATGCTGCGAGCGAGCAAGGAAGAAGCAAAGGGGGGTTACCGGGGATAACCGGGGGCCGGACAGAAGAGGCTAGACGACGAAACAAGAAACAAGAAACGAGGGGGTGTGGTGGGAAGGAGGCTCACCATGCCACCGCCACCGCGGCCGTCAATGGCGCGGTACGTGCCGGCGCTATGCCAGCAAAGACGGATGAACAGGCCTCCATAGTGGCCAAAGTCGGCGGGCCACCAATCCTGAGATTCGGTGAGGAGAGCGCGCAAGTCCGCCTTGAGGGCATCGTCTGTCCCGTGTTAGTAAAGCCGCGGCAGTTGACAACGGGTGCTATCCACCCGCAGGTCAGGACTCACAGTCGAGAGAGCTGAAGGCCTTGACATAGTCGAAGTCGCCTCCGTACGGGTTGGTCGAGGGCTGGAATTGACGGAGAACGTCGAGTCTAAGCTGGCATGGCCACCAGTCGCGGCTGCGAGTGCCGCCGCCAGCCTCGTTGCTGATGGTGGGACATCGACCAAAGGTCGCGGCTGTGTCCCTCTTGGGAAGCTCGCTGCTCACTGAGCCGTCTCGTTTGGCAAAGGGACAACCCTGGGCAGAGACGCTGGGCAGGATAGCAGAGGCCGCCAGAAGGCAGTTTGACAGTTTGGCGTGCATGATGGGGCCAGGAGGAGGAGAGGAACCAGAGAAGATGGACTTATAGAAGAGGAAGTTGACAGTGCAACCAGGGATGCTCAAGGGGCGAGGATGAGTTGTTCCTGGAGAGTGCGGGCTAAAAAAGATCGAAAACGGAACGAACCAAGGAACATTTTGTACGAAAATCGTTGTCGAGACGGCCTAATGGAGAGACTGCTCTTGACAACTCACGTGAGAATTCTTTCCTTCCTTTGTCCAAGATTAGTAACAGTGCATTACCAAGGCTGCAGATGCCATCCTGGTAAATGCATAGTACGATGTACATTGTATGAGGCGCCATGTATTGCCTACTGCGGACAAGACGGGCCCCCAAGATCATCCTCCCTGATGACGACTAGGGTAATAAGCTTCCTACAACGGCTGCGACTTCATTCAGTCTGACGGCAACTTTCTCGGCCCAAGCCTAAGCGACGTTGCAATCCATAATTGCTTAAGATCAAATCTCTTTTGATTGGGATGAGCGTGGGCATACGGCTTGGCTTGGCCCGCTTTATGGCCCGCTTTTCACACTTTGACGGTGAAAAGCGACGGCCATCTCTGTGAAACCCACGGCTACTCCATTGGGGATGACATGGGTCGAGAGGCTGGGATATGCTAGCGTCGAGCCCATCATCCTGGCTCAGTCGTGGCCCTGGCAGTACATTCTGGATTCTCAATGTTAGCTTACTACAAGCCCCAGGTACACACGTAGTATGAAAAGACACACTCTGGCCCTACTAAATATCTAGCAAGAGTAAGTACTTTCACATCCCAATGGCGTCAATCTAGAGATATACTTAGGAGGCTAAGTAGCTCCATTGAGGTATACGTTCTCTAAAATCTGGACGAAGGCAACCTTTTGCAGTTATTCAGGTTCAATCCTCCACTAAGCTTATATTCAAACCCCCAGCGGGGGTATGTATAAGCTAGGAAATCCGGGGACTGAGTAGCAGTTGTTGGTACCCGCGAAGCCTGCGAGTCAGACCAAGCGACCGGAAGAGTAAGGTGGCCATCGCTTGCAGCCAGTTCTCCGATACAGATTTTCATGCGGTCCGGGGCGGAGCCATCATGAACACCACGTCGCGGGGAGCGCGGCGGGGCTACCCGCGCGCAACGGGGGAATTGATGCCCCGTCAGCTGTTCATCTAGACTACGAACACCAAAGTACGGTGACGGATATCCACGGACTAGTGAATTATAACCCAAGGCTGGCTGGATCGATGGCCGTGGGGGGGCAGAAAAGAAAGTGTCTGTCACCGCCGGGCGGCGGGGTTGGGTCCTGGCTTTGAGTTGCGGACGAGTCACGACATGGGACGATGTGAGGAATGTTTACTTGATTTTTATTGTAGTTGACTCTTACAAATATCTCATCAATCGTGCGTTGGCTCCGCCCTATTCTCTCTCTGCGTAAAGCAACAACACTTTGGGAGTTTCGTGGCAGAGGCAAGGGAGCTCGCCACCGGCCTTCGGTGGCGGTGTTGAAAGGCTATGACTGGCACACCGTCCGGGCGGTACAGAAACACGCATGCGCACTTACACAGTCTCGGATAGTGACTCAGATGCCGGTGCAGATGGTGTGTGAAACGAACAAACAAACAAACATCCACACATCATTTTCACACAACCCACGCCACGCGCACGCGGCCAGGCGGGTAGCCAGATCAACATGCAAGCTGCAGGCACAATCACCTTGGTACAGGTACTCAACAGTCGCCGGGCCAGCCACCAACACGTCCACCACCCAACTACCCTGAAAAGGAAGCTGAGAAAACTTGGAGTTGTCGGCCGACATATCCCTCAACCCCCGGCTGTGTCTGGCGAGGGGGGAAACCGCCCCAAGATATGTCTCTACATGGTCGTAAAGTAGACTAACTACCTTGGGCATACGGTGACTACCCCCTGTCACACACCTACAGTGGGAGGAGTGCTCTCCAACCCCTGCGTGGGAGCAGAAAGACCATGGCACAGATGACACGATATTTGGCGCCAATAAGCTCGTCACCTGCGCAGACTTGGGATTCACTCATCCATCCCTGCACTGTAACCGCGAAAGACACAATGATCTCGGTCGATTGTCCATTTACTGACAGAACAAGCCGAAATCCGGACCATAAAGTAAGAAAGGGATCTCTAGCGTCCGGAAAATTGCGCCATTTTGTCCGGCAAGCCCCGCCATGTGCTGCATCAGGTTCGTCGTTGCACTTAGTTCGATAGATGTAGGCTTGGGAAGAAGACGACTTAGAGTTTGTACTAATATACAAATGGCATTGAGGCACCTCGGCAAATACGGAGGAGCGCTAAGTTAACATAGTCAACTTTAAAATATACCCGCCGCAAACCGCATGATCAGCCTTGACAATCGCCATCTTTACTGGGCCTCGTCCCATCGATTACCTGAACCATCCTGGGCTGGCCCCCCCATCTCGTGACTAAAGACGAATGGGGTTTCTCTCCAGGCCCATGACAGCTATACTTGCCACTGGCGATGTCGCCCATTGCACTGCCTACACAAGATGATGTGCGATCTAGAGAGACTGTTCACGTACTGACCCGGCACCACCCTTGCCAACGTACAGCGCAAAGCCCTTGTCTCGCCAATGTTTATCCTTCCAGTAAGCTTAGGGGCATGCTATGTATACAGGATACGCGCTGCGCGTCGTTAGCCGGCCGCAATCTCTCAGCTACTGCCGCGACATCATCCGAAGAAGCCGTCAGCCACTGATCCGCCATCTGTGAAAAGGAAAAAGAAACGAGAAGGGTAAAAAAGAAAGAAAAAAAAAAGAAACAGAAAGGCAGGATGTTGACCAGTCACCTCCAATAGGCTATGCTTTCGGGCGTCCAAGAGAAAGGTTCCTGCATCGCCGGTTCAAACGGCTGCTTTTGTCTGGGGCCTGTGATATTTCTGGTATCAATCCTACGCTCCTCACGCCACCCTGCAGGAATCTGATGTCTTGGTTGAACGGTGTACTCCGTATGGCAAGGCCACAAGAGCCAAGTCTTTCACACTGCATAAGCGCGTGGTGCTCTCTTCTATTTTCGGCTGCCAATCGAAAAGGCTCACATGGCACCGTTTCAATGCTACTTTGTCCATGGTTACACAAACTTATGTTAGTCTACAGCAACAGTTTGGAGGCAACAAGTGGTGCGATATGTTCACTCCCTAGCTAGCTCATTTCGCCAAACCAGAAGATGACCCCTGTGGCCGGATACCGGTGTGCGCAGCCCATGCTCGAGGCACGGTGAGAGGCGGGAGCAGTGGAAGGATTCCTGATGACCAGAATACGCCCGGGCTATCCCGCGGCGTTCGGAATAGCTGTTGGGGATGCACCGGCCTTGTAGCGCAGCGTGGCTGACTCAACAGAGAATGTCTCAGACTTACACGCTCACCGACTCCTTCGAGGCGTTTAGCTGAGCTGACAACTGTATCTCAGCGGCTGGGGCGATTTTTCATGATCCTCCCGTGGAGCACCGCCTGGTCGAACGTGCTCGACTACAAATCACTATTCAAACCATACCTTTTTGCCAAGCAAGCCGATATTCTCTCTCGAATAATGCCCCGACAATGCCTTTCCCAAGTTTTGGACTATTCTAGGACGATTCCCTTATTTCGTCCCGAGTACATGGCAACTTCATTATTGCGAAACGCGCAAGCATAGGGGTGACACGGGCTTCATGGACCCATCCTTAGGGATATAAGGCCAAGGGCACAGATTCGCCGATCAGCCCAAATTTCCTTTGGCCCATGTGCGCAGTTACATTTGCCAAGATATTATAACCCATGTTTAGCGACTGGTGCAGCGTTTATACGAAGACATATAACGGCATTGATCCTGATGACGCTGCGTTTCTGATACAATAGGCCATGGAAATCCGCGACAAGCGGGGTTGTATCAACTTGACTGCGCCTGTGAGCCCAAGCCTCGTTCCAGACCATCGATTAATCTCCTGGCCATGCGCGCGGGTTCTCCTGTCCGGCCCCTGCTCGCCTCTTCCTCGAAACTGCAGCGACCCGTCCACCAGTCGAGCCACGTGTCGGCCCTGGCACCCTCCGGGGCGCGGAGCAGGCCGACACTGACATCAATGACATCCGGCCGCCAGATGTCGTGCCAGAAGACCGTGGCCCCGCAGCCGCCGCAGAACTCGCGCAGCACCCCCGGCGACGACTCGTAGGTCCGCAGCACGCCCGGTGGTAGCGCCGCGAAGTCGAGCGGGAGCACAGCGCGTCGCTCATCGGGGCCCGGTGTATGGAGGAAGATGTTCTCGCGGGGCACAAACGCCCAGGTCTGGATCTCGAACCCCGAGGCAAGGTGGCATGGGCGGCAGGCGCAGGTCCCGGCGAGGTATTTGGTCCCGTCGGCGCGGATCCACCATTTCACGCTGTCCGGACTCTTAATGATGTGCTCGGAATGCTTGCAGGCGGGGTAGAGCAGATCGGAGAAGCCGGAGTGCGGGAGGTAGCTTCGCTCGTCAGGGCGGGTAATGTGGAAGCTCACGGCTCCGCAGGCACACGATGCCGGCAGCGAGTCCGCCGGAACAAGCGGAGATGTTAGCGGCAGCAGGGACGAGCTCTCTTGCAGCTCCACGGAGAAGTCCGGATTTCGGGCTGCGTCCAGCGTGTGGCCGTCTATCTGGGGTAACCATACGGAGATGCCGCCGTCTTTGGTGTCGGAAACTGATGTGTGCACCGTGAAGCGCGCGTCATGCTCGGCGTTGTCACGGGTGCTATCGATCAAGACTCCAGTCGCTGCCTCCCACTCCGTCTGTTCTCCCACCGCCTTGCGTCGAAAAATGTGACAGCCGCACATGCGACAGAAGCATCTCGTGTATCCATCGGCGCCGATATGTTCTCAAGTATTTCCGCAGAGGTCAGGCTCCTCAATTGGGCAATACGATGCGCACAGAGTACCGGTCGCGCGTCTGTCAGTGTCGCTGTGAGTGATGGATATCTCGGTGACTTTCGAGTCGGTGCGACGCGGACTGACTCGCTGGGCGATGGTTCCACAAAGGCAAGAAACGCCCATGGATGTCGGCGTCATAGTGATAGATTTATGAGTAAAATCAATGGGCAAGGTTCAGAGACGAAGAAAGAGCTTGAGATGAAATTCATGTCGAGTTGTTTGACCCATGGTCGCCTCGATAAACCCTCGTAGCTTCGCCGTACCGGTTGAGCGAACCATCTGTCCTAAGCTGATTGAATGTCCTGCTATAGCCCCTCCTTTGCCCGAGCTTCAACGAGCATCTCTTAGGGCGTCCTGTCAGCCCGATCAACATAGTGTCCAGAGAATCGAGGAGACTATCCAGTAGCCAATTCAAAGCCCGAAGAGAACGAAATGGTTCCACAGCTGATGCCGGTTACGCGCCTTTTGTTGAACTCTTGGCAAGGTATGACGACTCAATGCGGTAGGCGTGCGTCGAAGATGCCCAGGTTTCAAGGTTCGCCTTGATAGGGATGGAGAGATGAATTGAGTGAATGTGCAATCTGTCCACAATCGAAATATCGCCCCGAATTCTCTTACAGAGATTGAGACCGGACGTGAGGAACCTCTGATCTAAGGTTAAACTGGCTTTCGTTTTGTTACACTCTCACCTCGCGCGTATTTACTAATTATGTACACAAAGTCACAAGGGTAGGAGACAAGTTAGGTATTGTAGAGGCAGGACTCAGTTGCATGTGTCTGATTAGCCTTCCCGCGGAGGTGCAGCCTCTAATTGCCAATTTGCTGATTGTTTGGGCCATCTGACATGGACCGAAATGCGTGTGTATAGTTATACTTTCCAGACATCGGACCGTGGCCTCTCGCGGGCCGACACCAAGAGAAAGTGAATGTCGGAACCCGACGTGTGAGACTGAAACCGTACCCCCTAATTGTATGGAACACTGCTCGCTAACATGCGTCTGGGTATGTGGTATCAAGCCTTTAATATCACACAGTTGCTCTGGCCGTTGTTTCTAAACTAAGAAGCCGAGCGGACTTTGATAGCGGGCGGGTGCGTTAGACGGGCCAATGGAAACGGCGAGGCAACTCCTAGTAACAGCATAGCGAACCAGATGCAGCAAATAACAGGTAAAGACAAATCAGGCTAATAGTAGGTATCCATAGTTTACCTTGTCTATTTGGAGGCTCGTCGGTTCGTGGGGCTACACACACTGTATGCGCGTGTAATCTCACAAGATCCCTGAAGGCAGATGATTAGATGCTACTAACCTCGAAATCTTTCTTGAGGGCTATTGGGCTGTGCTGCTTCAATGGTGACGTATACGGCAAACGAGTATAGGGTCAAATCACTCAGCGGCATCATGTTCTAGTATAGTCGAAGACGGCTTTCACAAGAGCTGTGTAGGTAGAGCAAAGCACGGCCTCGTTGACCGAGTACACACATCAGGAGCAATGGGAGGTGCAAGTCAGCATAAGCAGGTCCTGATCAGCAATGCCTACAGGGTCGTCTCTACCCTCCTCTCAAATTAGCCAGCCTAACTATGCTCGCGCTTCTGCCATTGCGGATGCTTGTAGGGCTGACACATCTCCGGTGTTTTATACCAAAGGGCTATCTATGGGCCATAGTACGCAGCGGCCAGCGGTACAGTCTACCACACCGAGGTTGTCGTTCTAGGATTTCGGAGTGCCCCGGTACGCATCTCGACTGATGTCAGATTAACGTCTCCGTATCTCAGCCGCAGGTGCAGCGGTAACTTCATCGTTGATGCGGAAGGAACAGGATAGCGAGGCAGGATCTGCAACTGTCAGTCTCATGGATAAGCCCTTCCACAAATTGCTTCCCTTGATACAGAGCGGTCTGTACCGGCCCTGATCGTGTTTTGCCTCATGAGGTGGCCCATTGGGGGTATCACATAAATAAGCAAAGCCCGTAGAGCCTGGCTTTTCCCGTTCTATCCCTAGTGCTGCCTCAATGAAAAGTCGAAGTGGCTCTTCTTTGCGCCAGTCGGTGTTCCTCTTTGCGTTAGAATCTGTGGACCGCTAGCGATGACCCGACGATACCCTTTTGAGCAGCCTTGCCGTAAACGATGAAACAGGCATACACCTGATTTTTCCACTAGACCTGACAGCCAGTAGTTGAGATGGATCTTGTCAAAGCCTTGGCTATATGGCCGAGAATCAATAACATTCAATCACGAATTCCGACGACTTGGTGTGGTTATTAACGGCCAATAGTTGTTTTCCTATTCCATGACTTGATCCCACTTAGAGACGACCTGGTTCTCTCACCCGGGCAGCAGGCCGAGGATGTGGAGCCAAGCGGCTAAAAGAGGCAATTTTGAAAGAGTCGCACCATCGACGAGACGATGACGTGCTCAGCGAAAGACGAGAATCGCCAGATCCCTCCCCTGATACGTCGGCCACGAGTGGAGGTGCCGTCTCTTATCAGTATCGCGTGGGTTTAGTCAATGAAAACTTTTAGGAATTGCGCCTTGCGTAGGGAATTGTCCGACCAGGGGCTCGGAGAGACTGCTGATGAGGTGCTCGCACGAGGGACCCATGGTGCCGTTGATGAGATTGATAAGAATGAAATCCTTACCCTTCACTTCTTTTGTCCGCATCCAAGACTCCGTCTACTTTCCGTGCTCATTGGTACTTCCACTGAACCGCCCAGTATCAGCCTTGACAAGACGATTCGGAGCGCCCACGTCTAGGCTAGCATCATGGCTGAAATCGACAACACAAAGCCGACGGAGCTGCATCCGACCGAGGCCGTTTCTAGCTCGGAAAAGCGATCCAACTCAATCACATCTGCCCTATCTCCGGCGGAGGCAGAGTCGACAGCTGATACTGCAAAGCCACAACGACCAAAGACCGGCGGTGACGCTGCTCTTGACCTACTCAACGAGACGGGACGTCTGAGCCAGACAGCCGATCCGGAGCTTAACCAAAGGCTGAAGCGCCGTATCGATACCCACATCATGCCTCTGATCTGCATCGTGTACTTCCTGCAGTATATTGACAAAACATCCATTTCTTACGCCAGCGTGACTGGCATTCAGCAATCTACCGGTCTTCACGGCAACCAGTTCAACTGGGTTGCCTCCATCTTCTTCTTCGGCCAGCTCGCGTTCGAGTTTCCCACCATCCGGCTCATTCAGATGTTCCCTCTGGCAAAATACACCTCCATAAACGTTACTCTGTGGGGCCTCGTCCTGGCTTGTCTTGCGGCTTGCAAGAACTATGCCAGTCTTCTAGTCTGCCGTTTTCTCCTCGGCGTCCTCGAAGCTGCTATCGTTCCGGCCTGGGTTCTCTTCACTTCGCAGTGGTACACCAAACAAGAGCAGGCATTCCGCGTCGGCATCTGGTTCTCGGTCTGTGGTGCAGCCCAGATGTTTGGGGGCTTTTTCGCATACGGTGTTGCAGTCCATGTCGGAAAGGACCCCGACGCCGCCCTCCGTGGGTGGCAGATAATCTTCCTGTTCCTCGGCCTACTGACAGCTGCCGTCGGAGTTGCCTTTTGGTTCATCATGCCAGACTCGCCAGCTTCCGCAAAGTTCCTTTCCCATCAAGAAAAGGCAGCTCATCTCGAGCGCATTCGTGACAATGAGCAGGGCATTGGCTCGCAGCAGTTTAAGTGGAAGCACGTCAAGGAGGCTCTTCTCGACACGATGACCTGGCTTTACGCCTTCTGGATCTTCGCGGCCAACATCCCCAACTCCATCGCGACTAGCTTCGGCAATATCCTTGTGAAGGGCATGGGCTACACGGGTGAGGAATCGTTGCTCCTCGTGACCCCGCTCGGCGCCTATGAGATTGTTGCATTGCTTGGTCTGACGTGGTTGGCGATGAAGACACGACAGCGGCTTTACTGGTGCATTGCTGGTCACATTCCTGCCATCATCGGCGCCATTCTGATGGCGACTACGTCAAAGGTGCCCGCCCTCATCGGATACTACACTTCGGGAGGTATCCCGATCGGATGGACGACGATCTTGGGCCTCCAGAGCTCCAACGTAGCCGGTTCTACCAAGAAGATTACCGTTGCTTGCATTGGTACAATCGCATACACCGTTGGTAATATCATCTCACCCCAGACTTTCCAAGCCCGTGATGCGCCAAGGTATCTGCCCGCCAAGATCTCAATCTGTATCATCTACTTTCTGGTCACGGTGGACTTGTTTGTGATGCGTTGGGTACTGGATCGAAGAAACAAGAAGCGTGATGCGGAAAAGGCTGCGCTTGGGGATGCATACAAGGTGGAAGAAAATCATGAGTTCTGGGATCTCACCGATCTCGAGAACAAAGAATTCAGGTATGAGCTTTGATGAAAACGATCAGAGAGATGCGTTTAAGTCAAAGCACCCACTTATGGCCCCCCCCTGCATTTGGCCCACCAGAAAAACAATACTATCATAACACCACTACTTTATTTAATTAACTATTAACAACCTCTTAATGCTATAATAATACAGCTTTTAGCCTTACTAGGTAATTACAATACGCTAGATTTATCTAGCTCACTTTTAGTATTACTAGCTGTAATCTAGGCTTACTGCACCTCCTTAATTATTATAAACTTTATATTTAGATCTAGTATAACAGCCTTCTGTTTTCTAGTTATACTATTAGTAACCTAGGCTTCTAGAAGGCTTATTTTTTACTAGGTAGTAGCTAGTGTATATAACTACTCTTAGAAGCCTTTTTTAACCTTTCTAAAAAGCTAGCGTTATATAGTAATGTTTTACTTTAGTTAGCTAAATAGTTAAAGTTAATCCCTAAGGTCCTTTACCTTCCTTAGTATAGACTACTTTATACTAAATAGCTAGCTATTTATACTACTAGTATCTTAGGCCTTATAGCTATTTCTAGTAGCTAGATTAAGTAGTATTAATAGTGTTAATAGTATTATTATTACTTTTTAAACTAGTAGCTTATTTATAAGTAGCTTTACTATACTAATAGGCTATAACTTAGTGTATTTCTAGCTACTTTTAATATTACTTATAGTTAATCTAGCTAGGTAAGCCTTATAGTAGTAAGAAATAAAGTTTTTTTTACTTATAATAATAGAATTAATTTACTAACTTAGATATCTTAGCTCCTTTTTATATACTACCTTAATAAGGCTAAAGACTAACTAGTTAAGTAGCTAGAGGATATAAGAGGTATATAAAGGTAAGAATAATAAATAGATATTATTTATATAGTATAGCTATATAAAATCTATTATTATATAGCTCTTATACTTATTTAGGATAAGTAGTCTAGCCTAATTAGGCTAAGATAGCTTAGTCTAAAAGAGAAAGACCTTTTCTAACTATTTAATAATAGTATTATCTATAGTCTATTTATTCTTTATTACTATAAATTCCTATTTATAATATAAATTAAGATTAAGAGGGAACGACTACTACTAGACCTTTTTACCTTTATATATAACTAAAGGATAAAGAGTATTACCTTTAGTAGATATACATTTAATAATAAATACCTAGGCTTTTAATCTAGGCTACTTTTTCCTTACTGCCTGCGTTATAGCCCTGCCTAGCACTAGCCTATTATTACCTTTACCCTTAAGGATACTAGTTTTATTTATATTATATTTATTAGCTAGGTTAATAGCCTAGATATAAGGTATAGTAAGATATTTAAACTAGTCCTTAATAACCTTAGTAGATACCTTATTAACACACCTTAAATTAATAGATTAACTTCTCTAGACCTTAATAGATAGGTTCCTTCTAATAAAGCTATCTACCTATCTCTTGCCTATAGGTTAGGTATCCCTTATAGCATAAAGGATGTAATAAGTAAAGTCCTTAAGTTGTTAATAGGTTAGTGGTGTTAAAGCGCGTAATTAGTAGTAATACCCTATATTAATTAATTGCTCTGTTATGTATATATCTACTACTATGTTATGCAGCTATTACTAATTAGCCCTTTAGTAAGGGGCAAATACCTAGATTATTATTTTCCCTTAATTTAAGTAGAGAAATCTATCTAGGAAATAACTAGTGTATTTATAGCTAATTACCCCACAAGCGACTGTGTATTTCTAGCTAATTAGCCTACTTTAACACGCCCTCTTAGATTAAGGCTATTTAGAGCTATTAATCTAGCCTTTAATTAATAATATCTATAGTTATAATCTATTATAACAGTTACTATAACTATAAATTACCTCTATCTACTTATTTAGTTACCTAGGTAACTAACTAAAACTAAAGTATATATAGTTAAGTAGTATTACTTACTACTTAATAATATAATATAAAATAGTAACTTATATTAGAGCTCTTAGGTTTAATTCTAGGTAGAGGTAGAAAGACTTAATTATAGTAACGTCTATAAAGCCTACTAACCTTATAATTAGTTAGTTATTAGATATCTACTTAGAGCTATAGATAGCGTAAAATATAGTAAATTACCTAAAGCTATAAATAGCGTAAAATATAGTAAATTACCTAGAGCTATAATAGTGTAAAATATAGTAAAAGTAGGTGTTAATTTACCTAGTAAGCTAATCCCTTTATTTTATTAAATATAGATTACTAGGTGTAAGGTTTAATTACCTTAAAATTACTATTCTCTTTAAATATATCTACTAATATAGCTAGTCCCCTAGTAAATAAAGTTTTTACTATTTTAGATTATGTTATTTAACTATTTCTAGTTAGCCTTTTAATAAGTTTATAGCCCTAATTAAGGTAAATCTAACTATATAATTTATAACTATAAAATCCTCTTTGTTATAGAGGTATTATAGTTTAAACTTTTTAGTATTTATTTATAGTATTCTTAATAATGTTATAGAGAAAAGTGGCCCTACTTATCTAGTAAATACAGCCTTATATGTTAACTATCCTAGTTATAACTATACCTACTAAAGCCTATTCTTCTGTTATACCTAGCCTCTAATAGTATTATTAATTACCTTATTAATTACCTTTTATTAATTACTCTTCTTTATTATATAATTTAGCTTTATAGCTTTCTTATATCTATTTACTTTAGTTAAATAGTCCTAGTTATTAAATAAATAATTACTACTTTTACTATAGTAAGGCCTTTATTAATCTATCTGCTATTAACTTAGCTAATAGTATATAAATAACGTTAATTTATTCTTTAGTAATCTCTTACTATAGCTAATAATAGTAAATATTAATATACTATAGTTATGTCTGTAATTAAATAAGCTTTTTCTTAACTAATCTAATTATCTATTAGTTATTATATTAGATTATAATAGGTATATTAGTTAATTAATTTTAAATTATTAGTTCTTTAAGTAGTTAGTTAGTAAAGATTAACTCCTTAGCTGCTTATAATAGTACTAGTAATTTAGCCTTAGTTATTAACGTTATTATAGTCTGTTACTTATTTACTTTCTATCTAATAAGGCTACTAAATATCTTAATTATATATACTTATAAGCTTTTATAGTTAATTAAATTATTAGTAAAGCTTATATTAGAGGTAACTATAGTTAGATATTAATTGCCCTTATAAGTGTGTAACCATTTAATTGCAGTAACAAAACAGGTGACCTGCGTACTCTTTTGTACGGTCGCATTTCTTAGTGGTTATGAGCCCAGCTCCTAGTTAATCTTAATTGACTGAGTTAGCCTTATTATTACTACTATATATAGGATTAAACTAACTTTACGTTAGTAATTAGTAATCTTAAAGGTTATAGTAGTCTGCTTTAATAGTAGTAGCTCTTTATTACTTATTAGCGTATAGTCTAGTAGTAGCTAGACTTTATTATTAATTAACTTTAAGATCTTATTAATATATATTACTTATAAAAGCTATATCTTATACTACTTATAGTTATAAATAACCTCTATACTAAGAAACTATTATATTTTATTACTACCCTCTAAGTAGTACTTTTTTTTTATTCCCTTTATTAATTTATTAGCCTTACTTTAGGCAGACTTTAGGAACATAAAGACATAATTATTAATATAAAAGAAGAAGGTAATAGCGCCCTTTTGCTAATAGTATAGCTTACTAGTAACTAGTGTAAATCTAAGATTATAGAGTCCCTTTTTAAGGTGCTTTTACTATAGTAGTAGTAATCTTTATAGACTATATAAGGCTTTTAATAGCTTAGTAATTCTTATACTACTATAATTTAAATACCCTAGGGGTAATTATATAAATACTGTTTTATTTATATTAGTATATATAAATATATTTACTATATTAAATTAAATTAGCTCTAGATTAAACTTAGCTAATATTATAATAAGCGCTCTAAATAATAATCTAGCTAACGTTACTATATAGGTATCTTAGATTATATCTTTTACTTACTAGTCTCCTTATATAATAAGTCTTACTTTATACTTAATAAGGTATTTATACTTATTTAACTTATAGGTATATACCTATTAGTAATTAAGTATTTAGTTATTACTAGCCTTATTAATACTAACTTTATACTAGCTGCTTATTACTTTATAACTTTATAAGTAATCTCTTTTAGCTTAGTAAAACTTATCTATAAATAGGTAATATTATAAATTAGTATATATATTAGGCAGACTTAGTAGATCTCTTATATAGATCTTACGCTTTACTAAATTAGCCTTATAAGGGCTTCCCTTTCATATTATCTCTACTTTATCTTTAGAGCCTTTAGAGGTTACCTCTTCTACTAATTAACCCTTTTACCTAACGTCTTAAGGGGGCTAGCCTATAAGCCTATTAGGTAAGTTAATCTGCCTTAAGGATATCTTTATATTACTTTAATATTAAAGAGTGCTAGCTATAAAGGCAGCTTACTATACTTCTTATAGGTATATCTTTCTTTAGATAATATAGTTAGTATAGTAAATCTTATTACTTTTACTATTATTTTCCTACCCTCTTACGTTAAGAGTATAATCTAATTATATAAAAAAGGCTAATTATAGTAAATCTAGTAGAGTAATTAATATAAAGTGTAACTTTATATATTTATAGGTATTTATATCTTTAGTCGTAAGGAAATTTACTAGCTAGCTTTTAGCCTTATTAATAGTAGTATTTATAGCTTCTTTACTATTAGTAATATCTATAGAACTTTACTATATTACCTTTATAATCTATTTATTAATAGTAGCCTTATTAGTATTCCTTAGCTTATTAACCTATTTATTTTTCTTACTTAAGAAATAACTATCTTTATTAAAGATTATATTACGCGTTATAACTACTTTATTTTTTACTAGTATATATATATAATATTAGTTAGTTAATATATATCTAATAAGGTAACTAATATACGCTTTTACTTTAAATTATAGTAATTAGTTATAGTTAAGTTATATATTTATAGTTATTATATATACTTAGTATTTAAATACTTATAAATAGCTAATATATAGTAGTAATAGTTACCTTCTTATAGTATATTATATTTTATATAGTAATTACTATCTATACACCTCTAAAGGTGTATAGTTATATAGATATACTACAGCCTTAAGGATCTCTAGCTATAAGTAGTATAGTAGCTTAGATTAAAGCCTTATTACTATTACTTTCTCCTTAATTACTATAGTAATCCTCTTAGTACTGCTGTTCTACGCCTGCGTGTTAGGCGCTAATAATTTAAATAGGATTTCTAGACTTTTTATAGCTTCTTTTACCTATAGATAAGACGTAGTAATCTTATTATTATACTTAATTACTATAACCTCTATAGCCTTATATACTTTAATTATCTTTATAAAGTTAAGAAGTATATACTTAATATTATTAAAGCTATATTATTAGAGGTAATAGTCCTATATAAATCCTAACTTATAGTTACTAAGCAGTAAGGCTAACTTAAATTTACTATAGCCTTACTTAAATAAGTAAGAATCTAGTGTAATCTTATTACTTACTACTATATATTTAATTAACTTTTATAGCTAGTAAGATATTTACTAATTAATCTTACTTATTATATATACTTTATATTAGTAAGTAAAGATCTTTAGTATATTACTTTTAATCCTTACTCTTTTAGCCTTACTAGTAATATAGTAAAGTACGTGTAATCTAGGGTAGCTAAGCTAGTTATACTAGTGTATAGCCTTTACTAGCTAGGATTACTAGTAGTAATCTAGCTTATCTACTTTATTAATTACTATTACTATAAGGTAAGCTATATATATAGCCTTTAATTTCTTACTAGCCTTAATAACTTATTAGCCTATAAATTTATTTATATTAAATACTATAAAGTAATTATTAGCTTTTTATATATAATTATTAAATAGGCTGTTATCTTACTACTACTTATTTTATAACTTAAGTACTATATATAATGTAAGGTTATAAGATAGTAATAGGTAATACGCTACGTTATATAAGGTAATTTTAATATTATAGCTATTTACTTTTACCTTAATAACTACGTTACCTTAACCTTTAATTAGGATTATTACTTTACTTATATAGATAAAGTTATTTAGGCTTACTAGTAATATACTAGTAAAATAATAATATAAATAGAAAACGTAAAGGGTTACCCTTAAATTAAGAATAATATAGTCTTTAAGTAAATATCTAGCTGCTATTAATATAGCTAACTACTATAATAGTACCCCTCTTTTTTATACTTTTTTACCTATTACTTATTAATTAGTTACTTTATTACCTAATTACTTTATCTTTAGTATACTAAGATTATTTATCCTTTTTAATATACTAGTAATAAGTATATTTACCTTCTTTAATTAATCCCTTATATATTAATCTATAAGTGCTTTTTATACTTACTTAATTATATACTTATATAGCTTCTAATTACCTTTTAGCTATACTTTACTAGTGTAGTAGTAATCTAGGATCTTATAGCCTATTAAGCTATATAAGTTATATTTACTGTTATATTAAATTTAGGCTATAGGCTCCTTTTTTACTTAATCTTTATTATTATTATTAGGCGCTATAGTCACTATAGTAACTAGGCTAAATACTCTACATAAGGCTTTTACTTAAGGCTGCTTTAGCTTTACTATAATCCTTACCTATATAGTAAAGATTATATTATATTAAAGTAACTTTTTTTTCTTTACTTATATTTAAAAAAGGCGTTTATTTAATTTAACCTATATTAATAATAAGGTATATCTTAGCACTTTTATTAATAGTAAGATCTATTTACTAAGTAAATCTACTAAATACTACTAAACTTAAATACCTTTAGAGATAGCCTCTTCTTATTTAGTTATTTACTTCTCTAACTCCTTTATATCTATAACCTTATAGTTTATTACTCTTTTTATAACTTTATTATACTTAGTAATAGTAATATCTTTTACTTTATAAAGTAGTATACTTACTTTAGCCTTAAGATTCTTTACTTACTTATATAGTAGCTTACTACTACTATAGCACTCTACTTTAAGCTTTAAATTAATAGTTAAATATATATAGTTAATAAGGTTATTAATATTCTTTTTAGCCTTTTTTTACTTATATAAGTAGTAGATATAGATCTTCTTATTATATTTAAGTTACTTAATACCTATATTAGTAAGATAGGCTAGCTTAGTTACCTAGGTAGTAGAGGCTACTTATAAAGTCTAAGACTAGGTCTAGGCCGCTAAGTTACTCTAGGCCTATTAGTTAATTACCTCTTAAGTTATTAGATAGTTAGTAATATTTAGCTCCTCTAGCCTCTTGTTAATAATATCCTCTATAGTTTTATAGTCTTTATTATTAGCGTTAGGGTTAATTACAGCCTATAGCTTATATCTATAGGCCTTTTACTTAAGCTCTATAATCTATAGGCACTAATTAGCTAGGCTGTTAAGGATAACGTACTAGGTAGTTAATTTATTAGTTATTATAAATAATAAGGTATATATTACATATATACTATATAACACTTTAAATAATATTAATTAGTAACTTATAGATTAAACTATTAATTATTAAAGCGCGTAATTAGTAGTAATACCTTATATTAATTAATTACTTTATTATATATATATCTACTACTATGTTATGTAGCTATTACTAATTAGCACTTTAGTAAGGGGTAAATGCCTAAATCATTATTTTCCCTTAATTTCAGTGGAGAAATCCATCCGGGAAATAACTAGTGCATTTGCGGCTAATTGCCCCACAAGCGACCGTGCATTTCTGGCCAATTGGCCCACTTTGACAGGTGGCAGCCTAAGGTCAGCCTGGGCAGTCACCTAAGTGGCCAGGCTGGCCTCCTGGGTAGCTGATAGTCGCTAGAGGTCTTTAAAGGCAACTGATTACTGCTAGCGACTATTTATGTAATACTAAAGTGTTAATTACGGTACACCCTATTACTTAGAGGCAACCTAATAAGATACACTACTTATAATGTTAGTAATTGCCCTCTTGACCTTATCTTTAGTATATTAGACTATAGGGTACTAAAGAAGATATTCTAAAAAAAAAAAGTGATTTAATAAAAAATTAAAAATGTTGTGATAGTTTGAATTTAGAGGTTATCTAGAAAGTCGGTGGCTGGGAGGCATTTTTAGGGTGGGCTAAATGCAGGGGGGGGCCATAAGTGGGTGCTTTAACTTATATGCAGTGGAGCCGTGGCTTATAACGCTAAATGACGAGCAAGTACCTTTAAGGTTGACCAAGCTTCAATTATAGATAACTCTACTTTTCATTGAGTTGATTGCCATTCATGCCCTACAAACTTATATAGATTATAACTGATATCCTTCTTTGTAAGACTAGAGCTGGTGTATGTTATTAAATGTGGAAGTGGGTCACAGACCTCACGGCTTACTTGGTCAAACCCCCCGTGTGTATTCCAGCAAGTTGTATGGCCATGACAAGTTTAACTTCCTAGGTTTCACATAATCTTGATTATAGGACAGACAGCTTAAAGCTAATTTGGGCGATCGCACGTTTCTTGTTTATTGGATTGATGCAATAGTGGTCACCTAAATTAGACTAAGCAGTTGTAGTACTTCGAGGCCAAGCAGCTATAAGTTTTCCATGACCATCGTCTTGAAGTCACATAACTAGACACCTTTCACGATGTGATGTAAGGCGTTGATTGCTGCCCGCAATTAACAGCTTCGTTTTTGTGCAACAACTCCATAGTAGAATTGTTTTCGTCATGAGATTGTATTATCATGTACGACATGACTATCTTCAAGCAACGGTCTCCTCCGACTCATGGTATCGTGTCTGCCTGCGTGGTGTCGTTTGCAGTCGTTTTGACTCTAGTTTCAGTGATTTCCTCCAGGTGATGACAGTCGCAAGACTTCATTTTCGTGAACGCCAAAAGCTTTTGCAAAACTGCAAACTCCACTTTCAGCTTGATGCTATATACGATAGGTTTGCTCGAAGTCTGGAATACAAAAAAACCTCTGTATTCCAGAACGACTAGACCGACGTCGAGGGCAAGAACGAGCGCGAACATGGCGACGAGGAAGCTCAGTAGCATTCGTGCTTCTCTAGCTTTGAATTCGAAAAGGCCCTTGAGGTTTCTAAATCCCGCCCTGACAAAGATGCCGGTTATGGTGGTTTCCTGTATGGTGAAAACCATTAAGGAAATCTTTTCCATTACCTTGAATCGTCCAGTCCATACCGGGTCGTTGGTAGACCACACCTTAGCGAACAAAACCGTCTGCGGAAGATGGACCAACAAGACGGAGCCCATGATCATTGCTAGAACGAGTCGAATGGTGGCGCGGTTATAGACGACGAGGTTTAGACGTGACCATAGTACAATAGACTGACCCGTTACCATGCAATACCAGCCCACGTGGGCAAATACCCCTGGTATGGGTGTCTTCGTCGGTTGCAAAAACCGACTTAAACTGCCGCAAGCGTGGAATAGAATGCCAGTGTTGGCTACTAGCATACTCCAGAAGTATCGACCCGATCGGCGTCGGAATGTCGTGAAGATGAGGACGTAGATTTCGAGGACGTTGTACATGCCGGCTGTGGCCAAGCATGTAATAGCAATCGTCTCTGCCTCGGTCAAGTCCTTGCTGATTGCCCCCTGGACCTGCGCCATTGCTGGAGGCAAGGTTAACAGAGAGGCCGGCTACTTCATTCGTGGTCGTCAGTCGTTTTGGCACTGTTGTCTCCAGTTCACCATGCACGCGACCTTCGTCAACGCATCATCTTGCCGAGTAGTAGAACTAAGAGCTGGGCCGCGTACTACGAAGTGAATGGCTGGATAGCAGTGGCTTTCATAGGTTTCCAGAGTCAAGGGCTATAATAAGGTTTGTGAAGCCGAGTCATTGAAACAGTCTTTTGTTTGTTTGCCTTGGCACCGCGCAACCATAGCTCTGAACGGTCTCATTTCGCCCTGCTGTGTATGCAGACCATCACTCGCCACAAGAGAGATCCAGCCAGAATGCATCATCTTATTTCCTGGAGTCTTTCGCTGCTGCAATGACACAAGTTTCTTGGTATTCGAGAAATAGAGCTTGACGAAATGAATGGTTCATATGTACACGGAGTTGCTTGACGTACCGGTTCGGTGAAGTCAAACCTTGTCAGGCATCCTCTAAAGGAAACACCGGCCAATAGGCTTTTCCGAAAATAATGGAAGACGTAATTAGGGGAGCTCAGAACGGATGTTCGAAAGGTATTAAAGGCCCTGCCTGATCAGTTTCGTACGAAAACAACGTTTTCAGGTCGAATGATTCAGGATGAATTGGCCACTTATGTTGTCTCCTATTACCCGGCCCGGCGCCCTCCTAAACTTCTTCGCTTTGCGCTTTGCCGTCCTCTTTTGCCGCGATTTCAACCACAACATAGACTGCAGCGGCGGAGAAGAAGACAAAAACAGCAGTGATCGTGCTGAACCATCCAAGTCCAATACTCTCTATAGCTGGCAAGCACACAGAAGTACCTATTGCTGCAATAGCATACCGAAAGAAGTAGTTTCCGGCTGTGTTGAGCCGATGTCAGTCGCTGGAATGGTAAGCCTAGCGGGGATTCGAACACGTACCTATCACTTCTGCACCCCTTCCTTTGATCACATCCAGGCAATAGGTGTTCAAGCAAGGGAAGGCAATGACTTGGGCGAATCCCTGGACAAACATGCAGACCACGGGAAGTGGGATACCTCCCTTCTCCTTCTCGATAGCCCAGCCGTAGATGATGATGCAGACAGGGATCACAGCTCCCATGGCTACAAATGAGCTGCGGAGACGATCTTCAGGTATGCGTTTACCCCGACGCTTGATCCAAAGTTTAACAGTGTGGTCAGCCCATCGGCCTCCGGCGTATGTGCCAAAGAAAAACCCACATCCCGGGGCAAGGAAAAATAGCCCTGATTGGAGGGGTGATGTAAGATCAAACCTAGGATTGATGACATATCGGATCGGGGTGAGTAAAGCCTGCATGTTCCAAACTAAAGACGCAGCAGCGATTGCCTGTGTCGACACAGTTAAACTTCAAATATGAACCTCGGCATTAGTACTGGGAGAGTCTTACCACTACTAAGAGTTTCGGGACGAGTAAAAGAGCGAGTACGCGGAAAGGATTAGCCCATTGCCACACCTGCGCAACCTTAGCCCTGGTGCCAAGGCCTGTCAACTCATCTGCTCGTCTGCGATGGCTAGTTTCTGGTAGAAACAACACCGCAAGAATCGCAGTGAGGCCACCGAGGGCCGCTGTGAACCAGAACAGTGCTCGCCAGCTGTGAAAGGTCACAATGACGCCGCCTATGAAAGGGCCGAAAGACTGCCCAATCAAAGTGCCGTTAAGGAACCATGCTAAGGCAGTTCCTCGTTCAGTAGGCTTGTAGATATCACTGATACAACTGGAGCCAAGGACGAGGTAGGCTGTCCCGCTGAAAGCTGATAGCAGACGAAATACGAAGAACGCTCCAAGGTTTGGAGACAGGGCAGTTCCCACACAAAAGGCAAAGAAGGTGGATGCTGAGATAATGCATGGCTAATGAGGTTCGGTTAGACGGCAGTCTCCAGTATCCTGCGGGACGAGCGAGGTTTGGAAAAATACCCATTTTCTGCCATACACTTGACTGATTGGACCCCAGAACAGCGTGCTGAGACCCATGAATAGAATGTAGACGGCGTTGCTGACATTGATGATGCTTCCGGTTGTATTCAGGTCTGCTGCAATCTCAGGTATGGCGGCCAAAAGCAGCAACGACGAGACGGTGGAGGCAATGCCACCGCACGCAACAACAACAGTGACGAGTCTTTTTCGAGCTGGAGCGAACCTGCTGTAGATGGCATCGGTGTCGTGCCGGCTTAGACCCGCGTCGTCATCGACCGCCGGCACGATGCTAATGTTTTTCTCCGCGTTGGATGTCGTCAATACCAAGTCTGGGGGAACGGTACGGTCCCCACCGGTGGGTTCAAGCTTCTCGGTCTGTTCCTGGGACATAGTGGAGGCCTGAGTTGGTAGGGCAAAAGGCTTGATGAATCAAGAATTTTTGCCAGGTTCCCTCGGGATAGCGATCGGGACGCTCGGGTTTTTCACAGTTTAACTGATCAGATTTTCGGCAGGGACATCATGTTGACCGACGGCATATCCACTTATTTCCCCGTCGAAAAACGCCTAGAGCCAGCGATCTTCTTGAGCTTGCTTATCCGACGTCGGTGACTGGCCCAAAGACAACCCCGGGAGCAGTACACCAGTATCCATGCCCCAGGGTTATTGAGTTGCCCGAAACAGAGATCGACTGCGAGTTCCCTGCGAATGACAAGCGGCCTTTATGGAGGCCGCGACCGAATCTTCCGGGTCGGACATCTTCCCGAAGACTCGGCGTGGACAAGTACGAATAAGTGCAGTCATACCCGGCGCGGCAGGGGGCTAACTATGGGTCACGGTGCACCCAGGGTTCCGAGATCGGCCGGATCCGAAGCATGACCCGTTCGATTACCGAAAGACAGATGCCGAGATCGGTGGTTTTGGGGCTCGCCGGCCTGCGGCCCTGCTAGACCCGGTTCCGAGAGTCCCTGTCATCTGCTGGTGAGACGTGTAGGAAGATTAGGGCTCCAGTGAAGTCAGTCCAATATCAGTAAGAGTTATTTCTCTGGCGGATTTGTTGCTGACGCTCTTTCAAACCGGGGAGTGTAGCCACATACGGATATATGCTCGGTCTAACGATGTCCCGCAGTCGTATGAGTCGGGCACCGGGTGAGAAGTGGGGGGGTTGTCTTCCAGGACTCTTTGTTGAGGAGACTAAACACGGCAGCACGGCAACGATTCGGGGAAACATTCATCCTGTCGTTGCTAGTCGATCACTAACAGCCGTAGTCTCACCTGGGCTGGCGAGCTGCATCTCTTAGGCACTTACAACTAACACAACCTGCACAACGATGGACAAGGGTACGGGTGTAGCCAATGGAACGCAAGCACTTGGCTTTGACGACCTCACCGCCACGTTCGGACTCGATTTCATCACGTCCGACTTTACCAACAACCATCATATTGATGATATAACCTCCTGTGACAGCCAGGGCAGGGATAATGTCGACAGTCAGCATACAGAACACACAGACCTTTTTGGTGTTAACCTTGATCTCGAGTCATCCCATCAAGACGATGGGTTCGGTTATGGTGCCCTCGAGGCTGGAAACTTCAACCAGGAAGCCAATATGGATTTCGACAACATGCAAACCGGTGATGGGCCTTTTGATGAACCCGGTATCTTCATGTTTTCAGAAGCCTTAGGAGATGTCGAACCCATAAGTCATTTGTTCCACCACGACCAAATTATCGCCGCCCAAGCCCCCCAACCGTCTGAGTCGGCAACACCTAGCAAGGTCGGGACTCGTTTCTCGTCAAAGTCATTGAGAATCCTAAAATCATGGCTAGCGAACAACAATAATTACCCTTATCCGACGACTGAGGATATGGAATTACTACAACGTCAGACAGCTCTCAGCAATCAACAGATCACCAATTGGCTTGCCAACACACGAAGAAGAACGAGGTTCAAGGTACCGCCCAAGCGGCCGCCATCCCCGGCCATCACATCGGCAAAGACGCTACCCATCAACATTCCCCAGGGCGATGGACTGCCGGAAACCCTGCAAAATCTGAACCCTCTTCAGCGCTGGCAAGTCTCACCCCCTGAACACGAGCCCGCGTCAGTGTCTGCGATCGCGCACGCCGTATCGGGGTTTTCCTCGGACGGCGATGATTTCCCCGACAGGTCTTTGACCGACAGTGTGCCAGCGAGGTCCTTGTACGGTCCATCATCGGCGAGCAGTGCAGGTACATCGCATTCAAGCAGAAGCTCTGCCAACTCAGCGTACTCACACAACTCCCACACTTCGACGAGGTCGTTTGATCCTCTAGGGAAGGCCGCTATAAAACGGAGGAGACGAAGAGCCCTAGCTAAACGGCCAGAGTCAAAAGGGACCGGTACACTCTGGCAAACTTCGAATACCTACCAATGCACATTTTGTACAGAGACTTTCAAGACGAAGCACAACTGGCAGCGCCATGAGAAGTCGTTGCATTTGTCCCTCGAACGGTGGGAGTGTGCACCGACGGGCCCTGCGGTACTCGACGCTAGTGGGTGCTTGGTATGCGTCTTCTGCGGCGAATCCAACCCCGACAAGCAGCACCTCGAGAGGCACAACTATCAGGCCTGCCGAGACCGGTTGCAAGAGGATCGCACGTTCTACCGGAAAGATCACCTCCAGCAGCACTTGAAACTAGTACATGATGCCAGGTTTCTACGCTGGCCTATGGGAGAATGGAAATACGAAAGCGAGGTGATCCGGTCTCGATGCGGCTTTTGCGGCTGGTCTATAACCACTTGGAATGACCGTATAGATCACCTGGCGGAACATTTTAAAGATGGCAAGACCATGGCGGATTGGCACGGAGATTGGGGGTTTGATGACAACGTGCTCAAGATGGTCGAGAACTCGATGGCTCCTTGTAAGTGTCGCTCAGAGCAGCGGAGAATAGACAGCTGACAACTCTTTTTTATGTAGACATGATTCACATGGAACGGTACTCGCCGTGGCCATTCACGACCAAGCAGGGGGTGCCGGAGACGCCGCCAAATGCCTTCGAGCTGATCAAGCTCGAGCTCGAGCACTTCTCCGCCGAGCACCAGGTCGCCAAGGATCAGATGCCTACTGATGCGGAACTGCTTTATGAAGGCTGCTGCGTGATATTTGGGTGCGACTCGATATCTTTTTCGAAAAAACCTGTAACCTCAACGCAGTCGTGGTTGCGCGACTTGTTCATGTCATCCGAGGCGATCGTGCAGCAAGCACGTATCCGGCCCATGAAGGATAACTCAAAGTCCAGGTTCACGTACCTCAGCATTAACGGGAAAGCAAACATATTCGAAGCGTGTAGCTTGGAAGAACAGCTTCTGAATTATGTGGAGATTTCCAAGATGATCGACACTCGAGTGCTAGACGAGGACTTGCAAAGGGAAGCCTGTAACATCGTACAAGGCATGGAAGCGTCATCTCCGCATCCATCAGAGACTTTTGCAAACTTCTTGACCAGTCTTATCAACGGCTCGGGGCACTGGCTAGCAGCCTTCCGCCGCCGCGCCAACCTCCCTCCCTCGCGGCCGTCCAGCACGCTACAGATTAGAACGCATAGTCATGAAGTAAAGTCCACTAGGGTTAGCCCCGATACCGACCTCGAAGGCTCCTCGGTGAGCACATCGGATCTGTTACAGCCTGCGACCGGTTCGAGCTCTGTTGCTTTTGTGCCAAGTTCCGGTACAAAAGATGGACATGCCGCAGCTCCGTCCACCTTCTTCGTTAACGAGGACAATTGTTACAGAAAATTAGTTAGGGAGCTGACCCGGTTTGTTACCATCACAACATCGCCGCGGAATCCCAACCGGCGCATCCCTACCGATGCTGAACTTCAACATCAGGCGCGCTGGATTTCGTTTGAGGAGTAAGTATTCGACCCAGTTTCGGCGGTACCCCGACCATGGCGTCGTGTGATCGGATACTGATGCGCATTTCCTTACTTAGTGATGATCCGTGGAACCAAACCCCGGCTGATAATCCAGATTGGCTTCGGGACTTTAAGCGTGAAATGGGTATTCTGGATGAGAGACAAAGCTAATGCAGGGGATGAGCTTTGGTCTTAATTAGAGTAGTGGTTATCTGATCAGCGGCGGCGAACAGCGGCGGCGAAGGTTGCGGATATTGAAAGAAACAGGCAACGTAGGGGAAGCAGTATTATTGAACTACGCAGAAGAAAATCGCTCAGACGACTGGTGCGTGTTTCAGAACTAATAGGCGATGCGATCGGGACCGGCCATTCGGTCGTCTCCGCCCGGTGACGATTATACGACTAGCCGCTGTTATGATATAAGACTTACTGGGTCATAGACTGTCATAGTTATCTATGCTCAAATGATCGGCCGACCTAGTCAATACTTCGGGCTTTGGTTGCTCGGTTTTGATGCCTCTGAGCATCTGTCTCGGATCGCAGCTGACAAGTCTGGCGGCAGGAAAATGGATCGAGAGATTCGCAGTTGCCATGCGTTCTTAGGTGTTTTGACCCGCCAGAAGTGCTGCACATCGAGTTGTACGTATGGTGATATTCTGGCACTGCGTGGACTTGGAAAAACCGCATATGGGGGTTTGAAAATATCATGTTCCTAAATATCGAGAGACACTCTGGCTACTAATAAGTTAGCTTGTCCACATTGCCCTATCAACGCTATTCGGGGCACCCAGACCAAATGTGCGGTGTTTCAACCGCCCCGATTTTGTTCTTCATCCATTCGCTGAGTTGCCGTTTCCAGCTCTCATCCTCCGTGCCAGCCATTACACCGTGTATGTTTGGGGTATCTGTATGTTTCCTTCCGTCGAAAATCGCGTCAATCTCTTCCAGGGTTTTGCCCTTGACCTCCACCCAGTAGCAGAGAATGAAGATAAAAAACATTATGTTCCACACGCCGTTAGCTATGAATAACCAGTGCCTGATAGCATCCAACGCTGGTGGGAAGCCAAAGTTGCCTGCAATACCGATTGTGCAAACTATAAAGCTAAACATGCTCATGCCCTGGGCTCTTATGCGGAAGTATAGCATTTGTGCAGGTACAAGAAAGAGGATCGGAACCCATCCAAAAGCATACGAAATCGAGAATAAGAAAATGCCACCAACTGTTGCCCAAATCCCGGGGGCGTAGGTGGTATCTCCGTAGAACTTTGTCAGAGCGCCGATGGTTAACAGTCCGATCGTGACTCCGGCAGTACTGACGAGTGCAGCGACTTTGGTTCCCCATCTGTCTGTAAAATAACTACCGATAATCGAGACAATCAGCGAGCTTGCGTTGAGCCCCACGTTCTGCATTGTCAGGTCCAGGTCTCGTTCTCTGCATTGGTCACGGGGACACTCACCAGAAGCAACTGTGAACTCTTGCTGTTCACCCCGGCGTTAGTGAGCATTTTACCGATATTATACATGACGAAAATGTTCCCGGTAAGCATGGAAAACACGGCGCAGGTAGCGGTAATGATGAGCCTCTTTCTCGCCCCTCGGTTCCGGAGTGCCTCCTTGCGTGACATCGGGTCCCGCTCGTATTCGATCGTTTCGCAGATTTGCCTGAACTGGAGACGCACAACATCGTCCCTCGTGTCTCCGCCCGAATTAACCTGAGCCAACACTACCAAGGCTTCTTGGGCGCGTCCCTGATCAATTAACCAACGGGGACTCTCGGGCATCAAGGGCAGTAAAGAAACACACCACAGCCCCCAGACGCCCTGCACAAGGGTTGGCAGTCGCCACGCCCAGGTACTGTCGATCCTGAAGGCTGAATACGTCACGCCCGCGGCGGAGAGAGCGCCCACGTAAAAGAAGTCATTGAAAAGAGCCAGCCCCCATGCGCGTTGCTCCCACGGTAACGTCTCGGCGAGGTAGGCGGACCCGGAGATGACGGAAGCCGTCGTACCGAATCCGATCAAAACTCGGGCCACACAGAACATGGCGATGTGTTGTGCAGCACACTGCAAGATAGCCGCAAACACTGTGATCATGGCTGCCCAGAACAGCCCAAAACGGCGGCTATACATGTCCGTTACCCAGCCCCAACATAAACACTGCGAATGTATCAGCTCTATGTCATTCCGTCGCAGATGTTATTAAGTGAGGAGGTCGCTGTACGAGTTGATGGAATGTGAGCAAGAGGCAGCCACAGGATAACCCACGGAGAGAGCCCCGCCAAAGTAATTGGCGGAAATGTTGAGAGAAGTAGTCACCGTCGATAGCTTGAAATATTCGGTATACTGCGGCAAGATGTTCATGCCTCCCATCATTGCTCCGTCATAACCCTGCATCTGATGGACATAGAGTAAGCACTGTTTGAAAAGAGAATTACTCAAGGGGCCCTTACAGCTGCCGTGATCAACGTGCAAGCCAACAGCAACACTACGTTGCCTCTCTTGGATTTCGGTTGCCATGTGGGTAATTTGAAGGGAAGAATATCTCCCTTGGGCCTGCCATGGAAGCATGACAGCCCCATGTCTGTTCCTAATAACAGGCCACTCCTCTAAACACACGAAGCTATCGCGGCAAGTGGTATGACTATCAGGACTCTGCCAAGCCTTTCTTTGTGTGCAAGAATGAGCTGGTGCTCGGAGGGGTTTCGAGCGGGGATGGTAGTTCTATAGCAATCACAAAGACAGTGTCGCGCCCCCACTCTTTACACTCTGCAAACTCCTCATAGGTAAGTTTGAAACCTTATCGGGAGGGGAAGCGGGCGGATCAACAAGTCCTTGAAAAGAGAGGGCAAGGTGATATTTACGTTCTTTGTGGCCACGATACAGTGGGTGCCATAGACTGTCACTTGGTAGACCTGATGCAGAGTTAGAGTGCATGTTGTTGGCTGACTAAAAAGGGAAACGGAGAGAATCACGTTACATTGCTCAAAGTTACTTATGGACATCAACGTCCCTGGACAGGGTAGCAGACTCAGCTATGCATTGCTCTTCTCTCCTCATATCATTTCTCCTCGGAGCCTCGGAGTTGAGCACATCACCTGTCGTTGTACACGATGCAGACAAAGCACTCTCCTCCTGTCGCCGTGTCCTGATGCTAGGTTCTGCGTTGAATCGATATCATGCTGTATATCTCATGAATATCGATGGTTAAATTGAGAACAAACTCGAATGAAAAGGCAACTTCTGGTTCATTGACATGCAGCTGCCTGTCAAAACTCTCCGAGCTTTGGAAAGTTTTGATGCTATGTCGAAATCCACCTGAAACCGGAGGTTCGGTTGCGAAGCACAGAAAAAGTGACATAACGCAAGTCGCTTGATCCTTGCATGCAGAACTATTGGGTATCAAACAGGACAAAATCATCTTGGGGGCTAGATCATGGTCGAACGCGCGTCATGATGCTAGAAGGGGCCTTTGTTTTGCTCCAAGCTTTCAACCAACTACGATGTACAGTGTACTACGTAGTAATACCAAAGTGTTTGGCGGGAAATACCAAGTCAACTAACAAGTGGAAAGAGGCCCTGGTCCAAGGATGAATCAAATGAATGGATCGAGAATCCCGATTCGAGCAGGCCAAAACCTAGATGAAGCGTGCTGACAGAGGCCGGGTGTGCCTTATCCATAGTAGGTTTTGGGTATAGCGGCAATCGCGGAACCTACGTCTTGTTCTCCCGGGCTGGTGCTTGACGGCTTTTACTGGCTCGTGAAAAGATCTATCCGTAAGTTATGGATAGCATCCCATCCGGCAAACGAGGCCCGAGACCGCAATCAGGTTTAGGTAGTCCGAGCATTGGCTGGAAGAAAAATCCATGCAGGAAATTGGAGATCCTGAAATTCATCCACGTTGACCCGCAGGTGCTCTTACAACGCATTCGGTCTTGCCATTGCCCCTTTTTCGTGTTCTATACTATGTAAATTATGAGATACCACTCGTCTAAAACTCACAACCTTTGGGAAAAGAACAAAGGTGCAGTAGCATCTCCCTCTTGCATGCAGTAGAGAACATCTGGACTATGAAAGGTATCGTAATGATCGCCCCCAGCCAGGTACACCGACCACTCGGTGTTAATGGTCCAACAGGCTATAACCCAGAGCTAGCCTTTTAGCCTTTTAAGGCGATGCCACCCAGAAAGTTTGCGCTTGCCGTGGCGCTAATGGAAGGTTTCGAGCTAGTACCGAGTTGCCAGATACGCACCCCAAGGCTGGGGAGCGAAAACTCGGGGATCCAAACGTCATTACACCATCATGTCCCGTGACGACCGCTCGCATTTGCGAAGAACATATCTGTAGGATGTGGGGTATTTGTACACACCACTGCTAGTAACCTATAGCTCTTTCTTTCGTAATATCCCGGAAGACATGAACATGGTCTCCGGAGGCTTCTATCAAGGGTTTGGTGTGCCCGCACCGGTGGCGGCACGGTCCGAATACAGGCCACCATGGAACTCGGTAAGCACCTGGCGTTATCCTTAATTATCGGCCACGGCACATCGGCACCGGATACCATACAATCCCAGGGGGGAGACGTTGGGGAAAGTCACTCAAACTGTAGAGTAGCTTTAGACTTTTCATTGGACTCCGGGGAATGCGATAAGAGCGAGCTGTTGGTTTCACAGTCCACAGCACCACCTCTATTATGGACCATGGACGATTTGCTTTTTGCAGATAATTGGTTATAGCCGGGGAAGCCAAGCGGTCGTTATGGAAAGGGACAGGGGCGTTGCCAGGCTCTCTCTCAGACTCGAGGACACCAAAACGGGAATGTCTCCGCGCCGACAGAGGCGCGCTTGTTCCTAAAACGATTGGCATGAGGATTAAGTTGTGGGCTACCCTAAATAAATGCAGCTACCCAGGTCCATGTTGTTGAGAGTCTGCCTAGACCAGCTAACCTAAGGTCTAAAATATGCTACTTTAGTAATGGAATCCGAACTTGTCATATGTTCATGCCACCCCATCGGCGTAGCCGGGCTGCGCGAAGCCTGGCCTTTCAATATTTGCAGTTATTGTTTGATGCACCCCGAAATCCAATACCGTCGCTATTGTAGCACCAGACTCATTCGGCCCAATACTAACCAGAGAAGGCCACGGGACTCGGTGATCATCCCGCCTCAATGAGGTCTTAAGGCACTGGGTCGACGAAGGTTTACCAACGGACCATCATGGTGATTTGTCTTGCTCAAGGACCATGAAGAGGATTGACAGAGTCATGCTGTCAGTGGCGAAGTTCATCGGCATGTCGACGAAGGACATAAACATTGTCATCGACCATCACTATATGTCCAAGGTCTACACTTGCGGCTCCACCGTTTCTGGCCATGTTGAAATCAACCCACGAACGGATATTCCGTTCAGTTTAGTTCAAATAAGTCTTCTTGAAAAAGCCAGCATCAGACAAGAGGACGCCTACGTCTTTACGCACTCGACTCACCTTTTTCTTCAGTTGTATATGCCTGTGCCTGAATCCGCATTACCGACGTCGAGACTGTTCAAGGTCGGGCACTCTTTCACTATCCCGTTCCAATTCGTCATTCCCCACAATCTCCCCGAAGGCTCGTGCCGCCACCGAGTGGAATCGAGTTTGATACGCAGGCGTCACCTTCAACTCCCGTCCACCTTGACTGGGTGGGATAAGGACGATTTGTCTCCAGAAACCATGGAGGTCCGGTACTGCGTCAAAGCCGTGGTATCAGAAAAGGCTACAAATGTCGCAAAGCAACCATCGCTGAAGATGGAGGCAGAACAGTTCATCAACCTCCTTGCAACTTCGCCCGAGGACCTCCCGATCACCATCAACAAGAAAGACCTTAACTTCGCGTTGAAAAACACAAGGCATCTACGAAAATGCAAACGCGCAGGCTCTACTGGTTACATTACCGCTAAATCAGCCCAACCAGAAGCCGTACGTCTCAGCGTAGATGGACATGGAGCAAGCGACTCCTCTGCCCAGATCCAATTCACATTTGACCCCTCATTGGCTGAAATGCCACCTCCGAGGATCACAGTAAAGTCTGTGAAGATTTTGGCACATACTTGGGGCTTTCCGCGGCCAAAGTCAATGTTGCCAGATATAGGAAGCGATGGGGAGTCACTCGTGGTTTCCACGCGAGTTATTGTAGACTCATTTTTAAGTACACCTTGGACAGAGCATGCCACCTCACCAGTTCAATGGACATCCAGAAGTAACTGCAACACTGTTTCTTCCGTTATACGTACATGCGCCATAGATATCAGCTTCAGATTGCCGACCTCAACCAAAAACTTTCCCCCGACATTTCATTCTTGTATTATTTCTCGGACATATTGTCTTAAGATCGACATAAGTACTCAAGTTTGTCACCTCAGGTTGGCACTACCGATCCAAATCGTTATGGAACCATATGAACCGCGAATAAAACCATATCCACAGAGCACGTTGCCGGATTAGCAGAAGGGTTGTGGGGAGGCTGTTTATACATGTTTGCGGGAACAGTGTCATTTGATCTAATATAGAAGGTAGCCTAGTGCTGTGGTAGAGCTTGTGTTTTGTCTTCCAAATTTCGACCCAAATTTGTCTCGCGAGGTGAGCTTCCATTTACTTAACCCACCATCTTTCATTGTTTGACCTCTTGTGAAACCCGTCTGTGTTGCGGTCGCTGTTTGCCATGATAGGCCGGCTAACACCCTTCTGAGTTCAGGACATCTGCCCACTTTATTAAATCAAGATTTCCGGAATATGCCTCGCCGCTTGTATCTAACGTGTAGAGCTACTCGTGCACCAGGTACTCCGATCACTCTGACGCTACATTCTGGGATATCGGGCGAAAACATATCACTAGGCTTCCCCGTCGGATCCTGATGACGAAAAGCCATGGTGTTGTGGTTCCATAAGAAGTCTCCCGGGATCCAAGGCCTTAAAAGCAGAATGACTAATATCGCTCCCATGGGTATCATGAACTCTGAAGTGAATATACTATAGACTATATCATGCATTTGATATATCAAATTCGGAGTATCGGACTTCGTCCCTCTTACATAGTTTACTTGAGATTACATCTAGCGGGAAGGTTGAACCTTGGCAATAGACACTTCTGGAAGAGCACCTCCCTTTGACTCTGGACACCGATCAGCTGAATAGTATGAAATGCCTATGCCCTCGCTTGTAGGTCTAGGAGTTTTCCCTGTTGAATTTTCGGGGATGCCGTTAGTTTCAAGAACGCCCCTGCTGGGTTGGGATTGAATTGAGGGACTGGCCTAAACCTTACTCGCCGTACTGCCAGGAATTATGCTTCCGGAAGTGCCCGTTACTTTCTTGCACATCATACATGCTCCCAGGTAGGTATTCACCTCGTTAACATTCGACGGTGGACAAATTACCATTACCCATGTAGTATTAAGTTCAGACGCGGCTTGACTCGACACTCCTGAGCATATTTTGATATGAACAGCTTACTGTCAAACCTGGGGCTGACAAATCTTATTCTAGCGAAAGACGATTTGGGGCAACCATCGCGGTGACCTAACAAGCGCCGGTCAATCACTCAGCGTCAGTCTGCCCCAACCAAGGGGCTCAATTTGACCTTTGAAGTCAGAACGGGCAAGGTTCTGGGGTAAAGACTGGAGCCGTTTCCCCCCAGTTTCGCTCCGTTGCAGTGCTCGGCTTTAATAGTAAAGATATGTTTGAAGATGGAGACGATACCGGATCTCTAAGACCTCCCCTTAGACTAACGCCCCTAAACCAAAAGTGTTTATACTCATGCGGAAATATTATTGCTGTTATGATTCTGTCCTCTATCAGAGGCTTTTACATGTCTATTCCTCACTTGCGCGCCGCTTTCTGCTAGGGGTCTCGTCGAAAATTACCCCGGAGTCGCTTGCGATTGTCAGAATGGGACATGTCAATGAACCAGCCATCAGCTTGACTCGAGACGAATACATTTGAATCTTGGACATAATCGACGGCACAATGACGACTTATATATCACCAACAACAGCGGCACAATCAGATAGGGGGAGATAACGAGATGTCAAAAGCGAATCATGCGGCATAGATCTAACTGCATCAAGACACAAGTCAGCGCACATATGGTTTTCGTAGTCAAGGGCAGGTTTGGTGGCTGAGCCTGAATTTTGATAAGCTTAAAGACGGCTTTTGACTAGTTAACCACGCATTTTGATAGTACGGTGCATCTTCGGAATCTCTTCTTCATTTTCGCCAGGGTCGTCTCGAATGATGCAGTTGGCATCAACCTAAATATCTTCCAATCCGAGAGAGTGGGCGACCGTGAAACCACGTTGAATTGAGAGCTGAAGTTTTTGAGATATCAAAACCAGTCCTCAACTGGTCAAGGTTCTGGTGCTATGAGACAAAGGTTTGAATCATTTCCTAACCATGGCTGAGGGCCGTATACTTGCCCTTATCCACCCCCTCGGCAAGGCTTAGATCCATTTCGTTGAGAATTTCGGTTAACCTCTTTGGGAGCTTTGCCAAGGCAGGCTTCCTACTCATACAACCATTGTGATTCTGTAGGCAATCCTCCAACCACAGTCAAATATTTGCAAGGTGTGGCGACAAAAGCGGAACCACAGTTGCCACTGCTACAACTGCACTTAAGTACCTCCACGCCACAAGTCTAGAGGTTGAGCCAGTATTCACGTCTCTTGACGAATAATATTTGAGATATCATGACATTAGATCACGTACAACGACCGCATGGGATTATTGTCGACAATAAACAAGGGGATTCCAGTAGCGTTGCGTAATAGGAGTTGCGTAGACCTCCAGGGTAACCTGCCTCCGATGTCGAGGGAATCGCGGGTAGCCGATATTTTTGGCATAGGCCAAGCTGAGGCGAAGAAGACCATGCTTCTTTGCTGCCCTATCATAATCGACTGGGTCGCAGGCGAAGGTGAAGGCTACACCTGGAGACGACTCTTCATGCCCTAAAGGTTGACAGAGCTTATAAGACAAACTTTCCAGCAGGAGGCACCTTTCCACAGCTTGTTGCAAAGTCATCGGTGTGCTGCACGTAACACCCGTTTGACATAGCAATGATAGCATTACCGATGGAGACTTTGCTGAAGAAACATGCCGCAAAGTATGCGCAGAATGGACGCCATTTTGTGTGACATCTGAATTGCTTCGGGTGAACTCGCACTTGATGTAACCCTTACTCTTCCAATCCATGGCGAAGCCAATCAGACCCCGGAAAAGCTCAATGCAAACACTGCAAACAAGTTCTGGTCCACCCCAAGCCTATACGGCGTTTTCCAGAGACGGCGATCCGAGGTTGAAGAATTTGTAGGTGAGACGCGGCCGATGCGAGCGTTGTCTCGATCACCTCAGGCGTGACCTCTTCTTTGCGCCTGTAGATGTGTCTCGATGATGGACCTCCTGTCGACTGATTCTTTCGACCATGGCACCTGTGATTTCGAAATTTTCGGGCGATAATGAGATACTGAATCCCTTAACAAACCAACGTCTCGTCGCAATGTTGTCAAATGTTTCAGGGTGGCACGTATCCCTTTCGTGAAATGGGTGGCTGTGGTAATGTCAGACTTGACAGAAGCAGTGCGATGAGAAAGTAGCGAGGGTCAATCCTGGGTGTCTAGCCACTGCAACCTCTTGTATTGCTGTTAATTCATGCCAAAGTGCCGGTCCGGTTAGCCAATGGAAACTAAAGTTGCGTTAGATGCTAGTTTAATCAAGAAAAGTGTCACGATGACGAGGAGGGGAGATATCTAAAGCGAACCAGTGCCAGCAGTTCTGCTATCCGAGGCATCCATGTATAGCAGTGCATGAAAAACACGACTCTTGCATTCGAATATTGAGACGGGCTATTGTCATCAAAGTATAGGCAATGCTAGCTGATGGTTGTGTCTAGAGCGTCCTTGACTCTCCCCAACCTGATTCCCACCCGGATACCTTTTCCTCACCTCTACGCCACATTACTGTATTCCTTATCGTCCCATCTAAACTGTGCCTTTCCTCCGCTTCAGCTCGATTTTCGCATCCACCGGCGGTATTACTGTCACGCCTATCCACTGCGGTTTCGGCCGTTCGGATATCGGCTTCAAGTCGTAGTTGAGAAGCAGATTAGCTACCACCATCTTCAACTCGTGGGCGACGAAAAAGCGACCTGGGCTGTGGACGGACGAGTTAGTCTCAGGAGTTCGATTGAGAAGCGAAGGCTCGGTACAGGTGATCGATGAGCTTACCATGCGTGTCGCCCATGCCCGAAAGGAAGATGGGCGTCACTTGTCGTGACCATTCCGAGGTTCTTCAACCTCAGCCCCTCCTCGAGGGACCTCTCCGACTGCGGTTTCGCTTCGTACTCTTCCCTCTGCCGGCTTGTGCGGAATGCGTCGTATTCGCGTGCGTTGGGGTTGAGATCATCGTCGTGGTGCAGACCTTCCAGGTTGACGGTCAGGAACGTCCCTTTGGGCAGATGCCAGCCCTCCTCTTCGTTTGTAATACCCTCCTCGGCGATGACTTTGCGCTCCATCAGAGTACAGCTGAAGTTGCTCAGCCTCTGGCTCTCGCGGATGGCGCTGTCGAGGCGGTAGAGCCGCGACAAGCCGTTCTTGGTCCAGCGGCCGCCCTCTTCCTCCAGCACGCGGGCCGCTTCTTCCCTGATACCCTCGACATACCCCTTGGCGGGATCCGAGCTTAGCAAATCAAGAACAATACCGTGGCCGGTGATGACAGTGGTATGGATTGCTGCAAACTGTATTGGCAAGAGTCGTTTCGAAATGACGTAGGGGTCGAGCTCGAAGTAGTTCTTCTCGGCTTTGGCCATGCGAATGTCCCACGTGATGAAGTCTTCGGGCGCAACCCAGTTGTCGTAGGCCGGATCTCCCGCCTCTTTCTTGGCCATGTCGTCGAGACGCTTCCTTATGACAGGCAAGCTGTGCTTGGCTGCCTTGCGCCACATCCACCAGTTTGGCAGCGTGATGAGAGGCCCAAATATGGGAAGCATAATCTGCGGCACCATGTGAAGCGCGAAGCAGTTAAGGATGACTTGGTCGACGAATGAAACCATGGCCTTGCAAAAGTCCATGTTTCGGCATACGCCCTCGCCGACCAGCATGCGGTTTGTCACCGGCGGCACGATGGCCAGCCATGCCTCCCAAAGGCTCAAGGCCTTCCAGTTCTCGGTGTCTGTGCCGAAGGCCTTGTCCACAGCCACGGCGACTTCCTCCTCGATCCCCGGGACCAAAGAGTTGAGGTGACGGGCAAGGCTCTTGTGGATCACCCGCGTGTGCCAGACGTCATCGGCGTAGACCTTGCCTAGGAAGTTGTAGTCGCTGTACAGCACATCGTTGTGCGCTTCGTGCGCGGAGACGACGGAATCGGGGTGCTCGAGCAGCCACTTCGTGAGAGATCGCGGGATGATGATGTCGGGGGCGCGGCTTGCGGCAGCGGGGACGACGAAGGCGCGGTTCTGCTTGTTGTACTACGTTGTCGCATTGCGTGTTAACAAAAGCCCCGATGTCCCCAATGGCGGGGTATCGTGCGAACGAACCTTTTGGTAACCCTCGATGACCCAATCGCGGTAGCGGAAGACATAGTAGCAAAAGTTCTGTAGGCTCGCGAGAGTGCCCTTCCCGTAGCCGACAACGGGGATGTTTTCCGGGTACGTCGGCTTCCATATGTGGTCGAGGACGAGCAGGCCGACAAAGACGAAGAAGAGCGAGCCAAAGACGCGCCCAGGCGTCAATGACTCGATGATTTGGCCGTGGAGGCTCTCGGCCATTGTCACGAATGGCCGTCGCAAAGTGGTTTGTGAAGAAAGAGAGGCGACCCTGGGGCTTCTAACTACAGGTCTCAGACATCGCCGGCGCTGGTATGAAGAGCAGGGCACGTATGTAAGGGTCTTATGGGGAGAAACGGAGTTGCATGGTGGAAACTGGGTGTCTCGATTCCACTACCCCGTATCCGTATGTAGTTTGGTACCGGTCAGGGTAGTAGCTGGTCAAGGCTGCACGGCCATGACGCCTGGCTTGCATACCCTCTCTAAGCTGAGCATGTTAGTCACCTGTCAACCTGTTTGCATTATGTGATCTATCGCACTACTCAGAGACACGTAGCCGAGGTGATAAGTAGTCGTACGATGGCACATGTACGCGATAACAAAGGAACGCTGGTATCATGCACAATACCCAACAGAACAACAGATGGTTTTTTGTTTTGGAAGGGACACAGAGAGTACAGCAGAATCAAATAACTCAACCTTATCAACCAGGGTCTTAATGGGCAAGGTGGGATGTTAGCTCTCCCCGCGCGAGTTGTTGATTGGAAGTGAGCGCAAACGAGGCACGCCTGGATCCGTTTCAGGTACGTGCAACGTCTCGGAGTCCCCTGGCGGTAAGCTGCATTAACCAGCCCTCACAGTGTTTCTTTGCTGTATTGTTAGTGCAGAAACATGTCAGGGGTCATGGAAACGCAGTATATCGCTTTGCTGTGTCGAACCTTGCTGAAACGGGCTAGACACATCGGGGCCTTCTCCACCAATGGATTAACTGGTTCAAGCTCTGAATGGCCAGCTTGGTCCTGAGAACATTTAGGCAGTCAGCATATTTGTTTACAGCTAGGTAGTCATTGCCAAGAATATGAAAACCCAACGAGTCTCGCGCTATGCGAAAGATTTCTTTGGTGATTGGTCTTAACTTGTTGTTCTCGCTGAAGAAGTTTGACCTGACTCGTCATGAAATACGATCGTTGTTCCCCCCTTACTTCAGCGTAAGCTTTCCGACTCTTCCGGCGGACCCGGAGGCCCAGCAAACCCGACTTGAGAGACACTCGACGCTATCAAACGAGCCCGTGTCGAACGTTTTCCATGTCCGCCCGCCGTCGAAAGTGATATCGGAGCCGGAGGGACCGACGGCGACGGCTACTCCGCACAACCCCGGAGCCCATGACGCTCCTGACCGGTAGCCGCCCGGGAACACCTCCGACGCCGTCCATGTCTCTCCGCCGTTGTCTGGCCATGCTGATGTGTGGGCGGAGCCATTTGCTACGTTGAAGTCACCGCCAGTCGCGATGCCTTGATATGCATCTCTGAATCGTACGGAGAACACGCCAGCCGACGCGCCGCCTGCGATCACACTGGCCGATGCTTCCCAGTGGTGTCCGTCCGGACTCCGGAGGACTCGTCCTGGGTCAACGCCGCCAGAAGCCACATACCATCGTCCCGCCGCCGTGGACATGCAGGTCCCGCTGGCAGCAAAACCGAACTCTCCCTGCAACGCAGGCGCCATGCCGCTGAGGTCCACGGCATGCCACGAATCACCCCCATCAACAGTCTCGATCAGCCTGAATTTGCCGTCAACGGGATCGCTGACTGCGATCCCCCTTTCCTCGTTCTCGAAATCGACACAGTTGTAGAATGCGGTGGGCTCGGCGTTGGAGAATGTCTGCGTCCATGATCCGCCGCCATTGGTGGTGATGTATATGCGTGAATCCGCCCCTTCGCCGATGGATAGAATGATGGCTTTTTCTGCGGAAAAGGCCTGGACGTCGCGGAATTGCAACTCGATATCAGCGCCAGTGAGCTCAGGGCCGACTGATTCCCAAGGAGCGCCGCCATCAACGGTACGTAGAACAGTGCCTCCTGTCCCGGAGACCCAGGCAATCTTGTCCGACACCGGCGAGAGACCTCTGAATTGCTGGGCACTTCCGGTGGGCAAGATCTCCCAGGTCTGATTTAGGTTTCGAGACGCGATGAGCTTCTTGGCCGTGAGAGGCGAGGCGCCGACAAGCGCTGCCAGACTGGAGATGAGCAGATGGACCAACATGGCTGCAGCGTTCGTGAGAGCAACTCGAGACTCGGGAGCGACGAGACAATGAACGCAAAGGCGAAGATACTCTGACATTTACATAGCAAGACTTCTTCCTCGGTCCACAAGGCAGAAGGGGGGGGGGGCGTAGACCAGCCACCCTCATTTTTCAGATAAACATTGTCCAGCATTCTCTCTGCAGATCATCAACGACCTTCCGTTTCGGGCCAGCATCGGTCGACTCCACCTCCAATGCCGTGATCCTGGGTTTGAGATACGGGTATCGTCACCTTTCCATCTTTAACGTGACTAATCTCAACAGATAACACGATGGCTTATGCCGTTTCCCAACATTGAAATCAACAGTTTCGAGACGGGGAAATACCGCAATGCAAAAAGAGGTTGAAATGTTCTCAACCCCACACAAGCTCCTTTGCTCTCCGTGGCCATAATTGTAAGAAGAGTTGTCAGATCCTTGTCCTTCAGTCCGCATCACCACCAGACCCCCAAAACCAGAGCTTCGAACTGCCTGCAATTGCCGTTAATTAATGTTCTAAAAGTGATAGAAAAATTGCTAAGAGCTTCACAAGGCTCTAGTTTATCGTCGGCTGAGTATAAAGTACTAGTACTGATGATTATGTTACACATGACGTCTATCTCTCTAGGTACTGCTTTAGACTCTAGTTAACTCCCCCACCCTACTTACAAGACATCCCCACATCCAAGACGTTATCATCACCATTATCACCACCACTATTACCACTTATTTCACTATCTCTACTGCCTACCTATATATAACTTTTAGCCTTACTAGGTAATTTAGATACCCTAGATTTATCTACACTATCTATATTACTAGTATTTAGACTTAACGACTAGATTATATTTATTAAATTATAAGAATTATAATAGTTAATTAATTCTCTTATATGTTTTATAAGTATAGTAAAATCTTATAGGAATCAGGAAATCCCCTTATTTCTTAGTTAGGAAATCTTAACATAAAGGTATATAGCTAAGTGTCTTAACTAGAAAGGGTATAAAAGGTAGGTCTATTTTATTAACTAGACTTTTAGCTAGAGAGTCTAGGATTTTTCCCCTCTAGCCTAGAAGAAATAGGTAAGTAGTTACTAACGTATTACTAAGGTTTTACTATAGTTTCTATATAACCTTTGTCTTAACAACCTTATAATTATATCTTTTCCTAAGGCCTTAGTCCTTAAGGCCTTCTAAGGTTTTACTATTTATAGTGTGTTATTATAGCTATATATTTTATATTTTTTAGTAGTCTTACTTTAGTAACTTATTACTAACTAATTATTAACTTAGTTAGTTAAGGCCTTTTTTTTAAATATTATAAATACTTTTATACTTAGTATTATTTTACTAAGTAGCTACTTATTATTATGATTATTATTTATTAAAGTCTTTTTTATGTTATTATTACTATTTATAAGTTTCTCTTAAACTTACTTTTTAGATTTAGTAAGCTCTTTTTTTATATAATACTTTTATTGTTATTATAATTATTTCTTTATATATACCTTACTTTTACTTATTTTCTTTATTATTTTCTTATTTAAGTAACTATTTATTATATAGTTATATAAGTACTTTCTTTTAATATAAATACTTCATAAGTTCTTTCTTATATAAGAACCTTTTTTATTATTCTTTTTTATTATAGTTTTACTAAGTATTTATTATTCTTTTTGAATATTTCTTACTTCTTTTTATTTATACTTCTATTATTAAGTCTTTACTACTTTCTTACTAATATTCTTTTTATTTTAGAAAATCTTTTACTTTTGCTTTAGTATTTCTATTTTTTATTATTTATATTATAAACGTTTTATAATTATAAGTATTATTAATTATATTTTAAATATTCTTAAGCTTTTTTATAATATAGAAGAGGGCTTTAATAGTCTTAAAGATAGTATATTTTATATTAATTACCTTAAGTAGCTTTATTAGAATATTAACTACTTTCTTTATTACTAAGGGGCTTATAATACTATATAAATAACTTATATTATTAATAAAAAGAAATACCTTATAGTATGTTCTTACTAACTTCTTACTATTTCTTACTATAATTAACACTTTCTTAAATTATTAATAAGCTTTTAAAAGTAGCTTAAGAGACCTAGAATTATTTAATATATTTATTCTTAGTTATTACAAACTATAAGCTAACTAACCTTTAATATTAGTATATTTAAAATATTATTATTAGAATAATAATATTATATAATTATATAATATATATAATAAGTAAGCGCGCTAGATAAGTAAGCGTGCTACTAAACTATAACTATCTAACTATCTAACCTTTTCTTTTTATTCCTCTACTAATAATAATAAAATTAACTTATAATAAACCCTAGGTATAGCTAGCTATCTAAGCGTATAAAAAAGATCTAAAACTTAGTATTTAAGCTATAGTAAAGATATATAACGTTAGTTATAATTTAGTAACACGTTAACTAAAAGATATACTATTATAATATAATATTATAACTAACTTATAGAATTTAATAGAACTTAAAGAGAGAAAGCTAGTTAAGTTTATTCTTAACCTAGATTTCTAATTATTTCCTCTCTACCTTAGTAGTATTAAAGAAATAGCTAATTAACTACTTACTAACTATAATACGCCTTTAGTTAGTAAGCACTAGGCCTTAAACTTTATTAAATAAGCACTAGAGCTTTAAATACGTTTTTTTTATAAGTATAACTATAAGAGGGCTTAATATAAAGATCTAGATATAATAAATATATAGTTTTACCTTATAGTAAATATAATTATAAAATATAGTATTATAAAGTCTAATATTTATAACTTTAATAAGACTAGCTTTATAATAAGCTAGATTATATCTAAAATAGTTATTATAAGCTCTAAAAGACGTTTAAATATAAAAATAGTATAGCCTAGAAATTAAGAATAAGTTATAGTTATTTAGGCTATTAGTTTATTTAGTTATAGCGTCCTACTATATATTATTATTAGAGATAAAAGTCTTTTTTTTACTTAATATATAGAATTTAGTCTTTTACTTAGTTAGGTTATTATAATATTTAAAAATAAATAAATAAGAAATAAAAAAGACCTAAATTAGCTTTAGTACTTTAATTAATATTTTAAGTTATATATAAAAAAGAAATATTACTTTTTTATTATTAATAGGTATAAAAATTACTATTTTATAAACTTCAAGCTATATTATAAAGAAAATAATATTATTACTTTTTATATATTACCTTATTTATTTTATATACTTTAGCTTTTAAATATTAAGTGTTTTAGGCCTTTAAAGCTAGTATATAGTTAAGAAACTAAAGATAAGATATAATAAAGTAATACTTATATTATAAAAGATAACTTTCTTTTAGTATTTTATACTACCTTTAAGTAAGCTCTTATAAAAGTAAATATTTAAGGAGGCTTTAAAAAGGTAAGGCTTATCTCTTTAAGTCTAGAAAGTGTACTATTAAAGCTAGATATTAAGTTATATACTTTAATATTTTTAGGATCCCTTCTAATAACACTACTAGCTTAGACTTTTTAGATATTATATAACATAATAGAGATATCTTCTTAAGGAACTCTTATTAAGGATTACTTTATTAATTATTTAGATAGCTCCTTAATATATAGATTAATAGCTACTAAGTATATTCTTAAAGATACGTTAGGAATTAAATATAAAAATACTTTATTAAAGGCTAAAGTTATGTCCTTTTATAAGGAGAATAACCTACTTAACTAATATAAAAAAGTAAAAGAAACTTATCTAAGGTAAAAAAGAAGTCTTAGTATAGCTAATATATAAGATATTTAGTTATAAAAAGAGGTAATAAACTAAATTAAGGAGGAAACGTATTAAAGTAGTAGTTATATACTAAGGATAGAAATAAGTAAATAGTAGTGTAGTACTTATAAGAACGCTAGATATAATATATAAACGTACTAGTTAATAAAGAAATC